CGGCCTGGCCACCCCATTCTCTGCACTGTGCAGAAATTTCCAGCAGTTGGTGGATGAGATAACAAGCTACTTGTGAAACACCTAAAACAACCAATTTACTGTCTTTACAAGGTTTACTTTTTTTCACTGTGGTTTTAGATGAATGTATGATGAGAAATTCAACATTAATAATTTTGGATTTTCTTATCACAAAAAAATTAAATGAAGGACCTCAACCATCAGAAGTTTATCATCCAGTTTGAATCTATTTATCTTCATTTGAATGTTTTCTAGTTCTGTAAAAAGTGATAAATAATGTACCATGCAGGCTACATGTATAATAAGGACTTCTATAATTGTATATATGCTTTTGATGTATTTTCTTCTGGGGATTATCAACTGTCTCATGAGTGAAAGATCTGTATCAATTGAAATTTTTAGTAATAAACATTATTGAAATTGTTTCACAAACTATGTAAAGCAGTATTAAAATTTGAGCAAACAAGTGTTCTATATCTACTTTAATAAAATTATTTCCTTTTTGCCAGTGATAACTGATTATTCTCAGGTTTATTTATAAAAGATTTTTGGCTAGCAATCAAGAACTGTAGAGTCAAATAAGTCAAACAGTTTCTACAATGGAATTCTGATACACCAATTTCTTTTTGTTTCTTTATGTTTGTGCCACACCTGGTGATGTCTTAGGGCTTATTCATGGCTCTGCACTCAGGAATCACTCCTGACAGTGCTTGGGCAGACTATATGGAATGTCAGGGATTGAAGCCAGATTGGCCACCTGCAAAGCAAATGCCCTACCAGCTGCACTATTGCTCTGTGCCTCTATACCATTTTCTTAAAAGCGTTTATCTTGGGCTAAAGAGATAGTCCAGTGAGTAGGGTACTTACCTTGCATGTGGCTGATCTGGGTTCAATGGCAGGAATCCCATCCAGTCATCTGTGCCCTGGAAGGAGCAATCTCTAAGTGCAGAGGCAGGAGTAAACCCTAAGAAGCACTGGGTTGGGCGTACGGTGCCACCAGCAGGTCAGTGTGTACCTGTGAGGCAAGTGCATCAGCAGCCTGATGGCGCCTTCAGACTTCCAGGTACCCCCAAATTTCTGCCGTGCCTTTGGCCAGACCCCAAAAACTTGGGGCAGAGTTGACCAAGAAAGTAAACAGGCAAAAGTTAGGTATGTGGGAGACACACCCACAAACCACCTCCAGTTCAGCTATATAATTGGAGGCATGGCCTCTCTGGTTCCTGATTGAACTGCGTAACGGCCATGATCCCAGAGACTCAGAAACAAAACTCGAAACCCAACGGCTTTTGGCAGAAATGTGTTCAGTCCCTGCAGTAAGTTACAGGCGCTGGGCCACTAGAGGTGGGAATAGATTTGGTGCCTTGGCCTGTTCCCCCTGGCGGCCCGCTGGCCGCCATCCTCCAGAGGCCACTGGACAGTCAGGTTTGGGCCCACAGTGATGAGACACGTAGGGCCTCACGGGATGGGGGTGGAGCCAGCTCCACCCCAACAAGACCCCAAGTCGTCACCCACAAACGGCCTCTCTGGCTTGTGATCAAGCTGTTTAACGGCCATGATCCCAGAGACTCAGAAACCAATCCTGAAACCCAGCAGCTTTTGTCAGAAATGCGTCCGGACTACACAATAGTTTACTGTTGCCGGGCCACCGGAGGGGAGAAAGGGTGCTGTCCCTCCGCCTGCTCCCCCTTGGCGGCTCAGTGGCCACCATCCGCCAGAGGTCATTGAACAGTCAGGTTTGGGCCCGCAGTGATGAGACACAAGGGGCCTCATGGGATGAGGGTGGAGCCAGCCTTTTCCTCCCAGTCTCAACGAGACCCCAATTCGCCACCCACTAACGGCCTCTCTGGCTACTGATTTAGCTGCTTAATCGCCATAATCCCAGAGACTCAGAAACAAATCTTGGAGTCCAATGTCTTTTGGCAGAAATGGATCCAGACCCTGCAGTATATTACTGTCGTTGGGCCATTCCAGGGAGGACAGGGTGCTGTCTCTCCACCCGCTCCCCCTTGACGGCTCTGTGGCCGCCATCCTCCAGAGGCCATTGGACAGTCAGGTTTGGGCCCCCAGTAATGAGACATGTGGGGCCTCACGGGATGGGGGTGGGACCAGCCTTTTCCTCCCCATCCCAGCAAGACCCCTAGTCACCGCCCACTAACAGCCATTCTGGCTTTCGATCAAGCTGCTTAACGGCCATGATACCAGAGACTCAGGAACAAATCTCGGAACCCAGCAGGTTTTGGCAAGAAATCCCTCCAGATTTCATTGTTACAATTTTGGAATTTCAAAATCGCGCAGCCACTACTGCAGCCACACGACATCATATGTTATTCATAACCAGGAATAGAAAACAAATTGTCTACTGTTGCGTTTTCAGCAGATCTGAGTGTTGGGGTATAATCCCAAATAATAATGGTGGGTTCGGTGTCAAAATATTGAATGTAATCAAAGTAGAGAGAGAGTAATGTGGAAATCATCTCCTCCACAGGTAGGGAAAGGGTATGGGTTGGGAATATACTGGGGTTTTTGGTGGTGGAGAATGGGCAATGGTGAAGGTACGGGTGTTTCATTGTATGACCAAGACTTTATCCCAAAAGCTTTGTAACTGCTCTCATGGTGATTCAATAAATAAAATTATAAAAAATGAAAAAAAAGAACCACTGGGTGAGGTTTAAAGGTAAAAAAAACTCAAAACAAATAAAACCTTTATTGTATTATTGCAAAGCTTCCTAACCAACGTAGCCTAAAATGAATACCTTCAGTGATTCTCCATAGCTATTTCACGAGACGAAACTAAAAAGACACCATGCAGTAAAAACACCATCTATCCTTAAAGTCTGGGAAAGAACTGGAAGTCGCTATATTATTAACCCAAAATGAACAGAACCAAAGATGTTTATAAGCACCAACTCCTGTACGTTTGACTCACGTGTCCTCAGGTTGATTTTTCTGGAAAAAGAGCTTGAGCAAGACCGTTACTTTTAGCCTACATAATACCCAGTAGCAGTCCTTGACTTTAGAATCTATGGTAGGGAATTCAAACGGTCTATACATGAATCATGGTTACTTTGCAGGATGTTACTACATCGTACTGTGAATATTCTGTAATACTAGGTTGTAAGTCAGTAAACTCTAGATTGGAGAGAGAGCCCTGGGGCAAGGCAATCAGCAAACCCAGATTCTTTCCCTGGCACCTCATACTGTCCCCAGTATCCCCTCCAGGAGTATTGCCTGAGCAGAGCTCGGAGGAGCCTCAGCACTGCTGGATATGGTTCCTAAGTCCACTCACAAATATAAGTAAGCACCCATTTTGTGGAATATAATATATATGGTCACAGTCTTCCCGTTGTTCATCGATTTGCTTGAGCAGGCCCAGTAACGTCTCCATCGTGAGACTTGTTGTTACTATGATTGGAATATTGAATTCGTCGTGGGTAGCTTGCCAGGCTTTGTCGTGCAGGAGAGATACTCTCGGTAGCTTGCCGGGCTCTCCGAGAGGGGCAGAGGAATCGAACTCGGGTCGGCCATGTTGGCTGCATGCAAGGCAAACGCCCTACCCACTGTGCTATTGCTCCAGCCCATAATATATATATATACATATATATATATACACATATATATGAGATTGCTATCCAAGGCTAGGAAAATGGGGGCCAGGAGGACTGGTCAATGGTTGGAAGCTACCACAAGCATAGGGGACAGAGGGTAGTTAGGATAGAGTAGGGACCAGTCTGGCAATAATGCTTGGAAATGGTTGGAAATCACTTTGGATGGGAACTGGGTGTTGAAAGTAGGTAAAGAGATATACATAATAACCTTTCCATATCTGTATTGTAAACCAAAAGGCGTGTGTCCGAGAGAGGGGGAGAGAGAAAAGAGGGAGAGAGGGGGTAGAGAGAGAGCACTGCAGAAAGGAGGAGGGAGAGAGAGGTGCTGTGCCTGCCTGGGGGAGTAGGGAGACTGGGAACATTGGTGGTGAGTCATGTACACTCTTGAAGGTGTTGGAACATGATATGACTGAAATCCAATCATGATCAACTCTGTTTATTTCACTAGGATTACAAAAATTCACAAAGAAAATAACATTTTTAAAAAGGCAAAACAAATTTAAGTCAATCTTGAAATTTTAAGCGAGCAGCAGTGCAGTGGGCTGGTGAGCGGTGTTAGCAGAGCCTCACCTGGCAGCTGTGGTGGGAGTCAGCTCCCACACTCCAGAAGCTTCCGAAGCTTAGCGCCCTCTCCCTGGCCCAAACTGATCCTTACTCATTAGCGTTCATTGGGGGGCTGCAGGGGCTGAAGCATACGAAGCATATCCCTCCTGCAGGCAAATGCCTTAATCCCTGTACTATCTTCAGCCCCCGAAGGTGAGACTTTTCAGCAGGACAACGACCAATTTTATCTTTAGTTATTTTGTTTCTTTTATTTATTTTGCTTTTTGGGTCACATCCAGAGGTGCTCAGGGGTCACTCCTGGCTCTGCACTCAGGAATTACGCCTGGCGGTGCTTGGGGGGTCCTATGAGATGCTGGGGATCGAACCCGGGTCGGCCGTGTGCAAGGCAAACGTCCTAACCGCTGTGCGGTCGCTCTGGTCCCTTCTCTTTATTTTATTTCAACCAAAGAAACAAAACCAATGTTCTGCGCCCCACCCGCGGTGTCCAGGGGCTGCCCGTGCAGGGGTAGTCCCGACGTCTTAGCACTACCACTGCCGTCTCTGACGCCAGTTCTCAGCAACCGGGGGCTCGAGGGCCGCGGCGGGGGGCCGTGCAGGACACTCGGCACGAGGTGTGATGGTCCGGGGCTGGGCGGAACCAAGAAGCAGAATCCCATGCCGGAAAGAGGCTCGCGGCCGCCGGCCGCTTCCGGCTTCCAGTGGCAGCGTGATGTCACTCTTTTCACGTGATCGTGGCGTCACGTGGCGGCAGGGCTGGGCTGCGCCAAGGCCGCGCACCTGTAGTCCGGGCTGGTGAACCTGAACGTGCTGCGCGAGTTCCTGGACAAGTGCGCGGGCAGCAAGCTGAGGGCCGGGGCGGGTGGCGGCCTCTGGGGCCGGGGACGCCCCCCAGTGCAGGCAGCCCCGAGAGAGGGGGCGTTGCGCTCCCCGCCCCTGAGGCTCGGCTCTGGGAAGGAAAACGGGGGGCGACTCGAGTTCGTCTCGGCAGGACGAGCACAGCCCCGCGTCCAGGCACTCCCCGCTGACCCCGTGTGCGGGGTGTCTCCGCATGCGACCCTGGGTACCACTTCTCCCAGATGCCTGTTCCTCCAAGGTTAGCGCAATCAGTTACGCCAAATAAGGAAAAAGGACCCTAGTGTTGCACAGGCGAAATGCTCACAGGGCCGCTTGGCATTCGTCCTGGCCCCCAGTGACACCATCCTTGCATAGTTAGAGGCGAAGGTCAGCTGGAGGCCTGACTCTCTCGGGGGCACATGACACTGTCCCAGCTTTCCAAATACTCTCTCAGAATTAAGATACCTATGGGATACCTACGTGAGAGATTTTTATTTGATAGACGCTGGATTATATGATGCCTGTTACATACTGGGTTGAATGGTTTCCTTGGCAGTTCACCCATGGGGTTCATGACCCCAGTCTGACCCCAAGACACTGCATACATACTCTTTGTGGATGACAGTGATTGTGGTTCCGTGGCCAGTAGCACCCCTTGCCCTGATGCTGTTTTTCTTCAGGCCATGAAATACGTGTGGTCAGCTATTGCTAACTGCAAGTTTTGTTTGTCCAGAGTTTGCAAATGACTGTTGTTTGCTGTTGGCTGTTATTGAAATTCCTTTTCCTCAAATAACGAGATGCTTCTCCCTCCCGCAGGCAACAGTTTGGGATGAGTATCTCACAGGACCGTTTGGCTTGATTGCACAGTACTCACTTCTAAAGGTAAAATGGTTTTGGTTATTATTATTTTTTTTGAAACTGTCATTCTGGACTCTAGCAAGAGTAATATGATGTTCCACTTCTGGAGTAATTGGTGTGCAGAGCTGTCTGGTTTTTAGAATCACTGACACTGTTATGAGTGATAAATGTTTCGTCTTCTGTGGACTTTTGTTTATTTATTGGAAGTAAAAAAAAATTTTATTTGGGGATTTTTAGGAAGGGGACAGCTGGAGTGATAGCACAGCGGTAGGGCGTTTGCCTTGCACGCAGCCAACATGGCCGTCCCAAGTTCGATTCCTCTGCCCCTCTCGGAGAGCCCGGCAAGCTACCGAGAGTATCTCGCCCGCACGGCAGAGCCTGGCAAGCTCCCTGTCACGTATTTGATATGCCAAACACAGTAACAACAAAGTCTCCAATGGAGACGTTACTGGGCCCGCTCGAGCAAATCGATGAACAACGGGAGGGCCTTTACCTTTTACCTTAGGAAGGAGACAAAGGGAGAGAAAGTAACATGTTCAAGAGGGACATGGGCTTCTCCAAAGGCAGAGAGAGCCCCTACACACATCCCAACATTATATAGAAAAGCACAAAAGTCCCCATGTCAAGGAGAGCTGCAGGCACCGCATTTGCTCGGCTACATGGGCACAAGCAGCTCAGGGGCTCGGGCAGCATAAGAGCCTTCATTGGACCTTTAATGGGTGGGTGTGCACCCCCCTCTTCTCCTTGACGGAGCGGCATGTCTTCTGATTGTTACTTAATGTGGCTCAAAGTTTTTCAGACACAGGATTGGTTACTTCTGCCTGAATTTATACACCTGGCTTTGGGGAAATCCAAATTTTTATACTAAAGTGGTTTTTTATATTTTATTTGGGGGCTCGTGCCAGGCAGTGCTCAGGACTTACTCCTGGCTTTGCACTCAGGATCACTCCTGGCAGTGCTCAGTGGACAGTATGGGGTGCTGGGGATAGGACCCCGGGTCAGCTGAATGCAAAGCAAGCACCTTCCCCACTCTACTTTCTCCCTGGCCCCGGATCTCCTGAGCACTGCCCCAGGGCACCTCCTGGTGGTGATTCTTAGCAGTTCAATGATGCTTGGTGCTGTGGTGGCAGGGATATCCCAGGCCACTCCAGTGGCCTCTCTTGGGATGCACATGGCAATGCTTGAGACCCTTGTGGTGCCAGAGGGCAAAGTTGGCAGTCATGTGTCAGTCATGTACCTTAACCCCTGCACTCTCTGACTCAACACTAAAGTATACTGTGCTTTGGAGCAGGAGTGTTACAACATCTGAGTTTTTGTTGTTGGTCAGTTTTGTTTGGTCCACCCCTGGCAGTGCTCAGACTTACCCCTGGCTCTGCACTCAGGAATGACTCTTGGTGGTGTTTGGGGACCGTATGGGAGGCTGGCAAGCCAACCTGGGTTGGCTGCCTGCAGTGCTGTCCGAGTTTGGGTCGGCTGGTAAATTTTAGGGGTTCTGTTAACCATTTGTATCTGTGCTTTCCTAGGAACATGAGGTGGAGAAAATGTTCACACTCAAAGGAAGCCGCTTGCCAGCAACTGATGTCAAGAATATCATTTTTTTCATCACACCTTGGCTAGAACTGATGGATATAATTGCTGAAAATGTGCTTAGGTATCTCAGAGCTGATGGTTGGTCCATACAGAATCATTTCTCTAGTGGTTTTAGTGCTCATCAGGACACCTTTGCTTGCCAGCATTTTAGAAAGTGGATCTTTGGACAGATATGAGAGTGTGCCGGAGGAGAATGGGGGGTCAGGAGCAGGATACTCTGCAGTCAGCCAAGGATAGATCCTCAGAACCCAGTGTGGTCCCCAAGTCTGCCAGGAGTGATGTCTGAGCGCATAGCCAGGAGTTATCCCTGAGCACCTGCAGGTGTGGCCAAAAAACTGTAAATAGAGAATGGGAAATTTTGTGTATTGGGGGTTGGGGAGGCAGTGCTAACCACATAACCCCCCTCTCTCAGGACAGCAGAAAGCTGTGGCCTGTCTCAGTAGAAGGACCCAAATTTCTTTATAAAAAGAAAAACAGCTAATGGTTCTTTTTCAAGTACTGAATACCATATGCTCAAATTTCATAAACAAAGTCAGGAGAAACTGATTAAAATTTAATGCTGCAGCATCTATGGAGGAAATGCACCAGCCCAGTCTGCATTACATTTGATCGATGTGGCCCCTAAGGACTTAAAAGCATGCGGGCTATTTGTGGAAGATCGGGCGTGGTGTGGAGTGACTTTTTATTTTCCTGAGAGCCTTCACCCTAAGATCAGGGACGAGACAAGAATGCCCACTCTCTCCACTACTGTTCAATATAGTACTGGAAGTACTTGCAATAGCAGTTAGGCAAGAAAAAGATATTAAGGGCATCCAGGTAGGGAAGGAAGAAATCAAGCTCTCACTATTCGCAGATGATATGATACTATACTTAGAGAACCCTAAAACCTCTATCAAGAAACTCATAGAAACAGTAGGCTTGTATAGTAAAGTGGCAGGCTATAAAATCAATACCCAAAAATCCATGGTTTTCCTATACGCAAATAGTGAAAGAGAAGAAAATGACATGAAGAAAACAATTCCATTCACAATTGTTCCCCCCCCCAAAAAAAATCAAGTACCTGGGAATCAGTATAACTAAGGAAGTAAAGGACCTGTACAAAGAAAATTACAAAACACTACTTAAGGAAATAAAACAGGACACGAGGAAATGGAAAAATATCCCCTGCTCTTGGATGGGGAGAATCAACATTGTCAAAATGGGAATACTTCCCAAAGCACTGTACAAATTCAATGCGATCCCTATAAGGATACCCATGACATTCTTCAAAAAAATGGAGCAAACACTCCTGAAATTTATATGGAACAATAAGCCCCCACGAATAGCTAAAGCAATTCTTGGAAAAAATAAATTGGGAGGAATCAACCTGCCCTGCCTAACTTCAAGCTCTACTACAAAGCAGTAATAATGAAACCAGCATGGTACTGGAACAAAGGCAGAGCTGCAGAACAATGAAACAAAGTTGAATATACTGACATCTACTCCCAAGGATATGAGCATCTAATCTTCGATAAGTGGGCAAGAAAAGTGAAATGGAGCAGGGAAAGCCTCTTTAATAAAATGTGCTGGCAAAACTGGATGGCTACATGCAAAAAACTGGGTTCTTTTTTTTTCATTTTTTATAATTTTATTTATTGAATCACCATGAGAGCAGTTACAAAGCTTTTGGGTCTAAGTCTTGGTCATATAATGAAACACCCATACCTTCACCAGTGCCCATTCTCCACCACCAAAAACCGCAGTATAGGGGCTGGAGAGAAAGCACAGCAGGTAGGGTGTTTGCCTGGCTCACGGCCGACCCGGGTTCTATTCCCAGCATCCCATATGGTCCACTGAGCACCGTCAGGAGTGACTTCTGAGTGTAGAGCCAAGAGTAGCCCCTGTGCATCGCCAGGTGAAACCCAAAAAGCCAAAAAAAAAAAAAACACCACAGTATACCCCCATCCCACACCCTCTCCCTACCTGTGGAGGAGATGATTTCCACATTACTCTCTCTCTACTTGGATTACATTCAATATTTTTGACACCGGACCCACCATTATTATTTGGGATTTTATCCCAACACTCAGATCTGCTGAAAAGGCAACAGTAGACAATTTGTTTTCTATTCCTGGTTATGAATAACATATGATGTCGTGTGGCTGCAGTAGTGGCTGCGTGATTTTGAAATTCCAAAATTGTAACATTGAAATCTGGAGGGATTTCTTGCCAAAACCTGCTGGGTTCCGAGATTTGTTCCTGAGTCTCTGGGATCATGGCCGTTAAGCAGCTTAATTAGGAGCCAGAAAGGCCGTTAGTGGGCGGCGACTAGGGGTCTTGCTGGGATGGGGAGGAAAGGGCTGGTCCCAGCCCCATCCAGTGAGGCCCCTCGTGTCTCATCACTGCAGGCCCAAACCTGACTGTTCAATGACCTCTGGCGGATGGTGGCCACTGAGCCGCCAAGGGGGAGCAGGCGGAGGGACAGCACCCTTTCTCCCCTCCGGTGGCCCGGCAACAGTAAACTATTGTGTAGTCCGGACGCATTTCTGACAAAAGCTGCTGGGTTTCAGGATTGGTTTCTGAGTCTCTGGGATCATGGCCGTTAAACAGCTTGATCACAAGCCAGAGAGGCCGTTTGTGGGTGACGACTTGGGGTCTTGTTGGGGTGGAGCTGGCTCCACCCCCATCCCGTGAGGCCCTACGTGTCTCATCACTGTGGGCCCAAACCTGACTGTCCAGTGGCCTCTGGAGGATGGCGGCCAGCGGGCCGCCAGGGGGAACAGGCCAAGGCACCAAATCTATTCCCACCTCTAGTGGCCCAGCGCCTGTAACTTACTGCAGGGACTGAACACATTTCTGCCAAAAGCCGTTGGGTTTCGAGTTTTGTTTCTGAGTCTCTGGGATCATGGCCGTTACGCAGTTCAATCAGGAACCAGAGAGGCCATGCCTCCAATTATATAGCTGAACTGGAGGTGGTTTGTGGGTGTGTCTCCCACATACCTAACTTTTGCCTGTTTACTTTCTTGGTCAACTCTGCCCCAAGTTTTTGGGGTCTGGCCAAAGGCACGGCAGAAATTTGGGGGTACCTGGAAGTCTGAAGGCGCCATCAGGCTGCTGATGCACTTGCCTCACAGGTACACACTGACCTGCTGGTGGCACCGTACGCCCAACCCAGTGCTTCTTAGGGTTTACTCCTGCCTCTGCACTTAGAGATTGCTCCTTCCAGGGCACAGATGACTGGATGGGATTCCTGCCATTGAACCCAGATCAGCCACATGCAAGGTAAGTACCCTACTCACTGGACTATCTCTTTAGCCCAAGATAAACGCTTTTAAGAAAATGGTATAGAGGCACAGAGCAATAGTGCAGCTGGTAGGGCATTTGCTTTGCAGGTGGCCAATCTGGCTTCAATCCCTGACATTCCATATAGTCTGCCCAAGCACTGTCAGGAGTGATTCCTGAGTGCAGAGCCATGAATAAGCCCTAAGACATCACCAGGTGTGGCACAAACATAAAGAAACAAAAAGAAATTGGTGTATCAGAGTTCCATTGTAGAAACTGTTTGACTTATTTGACTCTACAGTTCTTGATTGCTAGCCAAAAATCTTTTATAAATAAACCTGAGAATAATCAGTTATCACTGGCAAAAAGGAAATAATTTTATTAAAGTAGATATAGAACACTTGTTTGCTCAAATTTTAATACTGCTTTACATAGTTTGTGAAACAATTTCAATAATGTTTATTACTAAAAATTTCAATTGATACAGATCTTTCACTCATGAGACAGTTGATAATCCCCAGAAGAAAATACATCAAAAGCATATATACAATTATAGAAGTCCTTATTATACATGTAGCCTGCATGGTACATTATTTATCACTTTTTACAGAACTAGAAAACATTCAAATGAAGATAAATAGATTCAAACTGGATGATAAACTTCTGATGGTTGAGGTCCTTCATTTAATTTTTTTGTGATAAGAAAATCCAAAATTATTAATGTTGAATTTCTCATCATACATTCATCTAAAACCACAGTGAAAAAAAGTAAACCTTGTAAAGACAGTAAATTGGTTGTTTTAGGTGTTTCACAAGTAGCTGGTTATCTAATCCATCAAGTGTTGGAGATTTCTGGTAGATAAGAAAAAAATTTTGGAGAATATGCTGTTATTTGTATTTGATAAAGAAAAAAACCCAACTGAATCAAACTAGTTTCATAGCCTTGTGATACTTTAATTTCTGGCTTCATCCTTTATGTCCTGATGGAGAGTTGAAGTGCTTCCTTTTTCATAAAGGTAAAAATGTCAACAGAAAGATACATCCTGGGTTTGTTTTTCAAAATATAGATTAAAAATATATACTATAGAAAGCTAAAACTATTCAAAACCCAGTCAGTCAGCACCCACAGTAGGGTCCAGTGGGTGCAACAGCAAGATTAGAAAAAGTTCGAGCACAGCAGGGTCCCCTGCCCCGAACCCTGTCCGGCTTCATTTCAATCAGAGTCGCACTGAAGTGGATCAAGCCTGAAATAAAGGCACTACTGACAACGGTAGTGCTAAAAGCTCAGGTATTTTTTGATATAGAATAAAATACTTTAAATGAGTGGATAAAAATGCGAAATGGCACAATTGTTCCCTAACTCATTCCAGTGTCAAAGCTTAACCCAAACATCTCAATATACAAATGCAGCCTGGAAACATTTTAGTGCAAATAGGAAAAGGAACGGCATAATTTAAAGTTATTTAAATAAGGTACTGGAAGGGGAAGGGTTGTTCCATGAGGTTCCCTTAGGCACAAACCAGAGTAACATCCTCTGGGTGCAAATGTCTTATGAAAACTGATAAAACACAGGGAAGATAATATTCGAGGTGTCAGTTCACCTACTTGGTATTTATTCTTCTAACCTGTGAGGAAAACTAGAAGGATGATTTGTTGAAGACCAAAATAGTTCTTAGATTTGTTGACGGGGTTGAAAAATAAAGTAGGTTTTCCTGCAGTCTGCACGGATGCTGGTGGCTGTGCTCTGTGGAGAGTAGCCGGGGTGGGGTGGGGGACTCAGAAGGTCTCGTCGTCGTTGCAGTTACTGGGCCAGTGTCCGAACACCTCACAGATGTCACAGTACGGCCGCTCCTCGCCCCGGTTGCCGTGGTGTGTGGAGTGTGGGGGGTCCTCGGACACTTGTGTCTGCGTGGGGCAGTCCTCTGTGTCATGGAGGTCAAAGCAGTCGCAGATGTCACAAAAGAGGCGAGGCTTCTTCTTGGCCAGCTTCTCCTGGTCGTCACTGGGGGCAGAGGTGGGACACTGATCAGTAACACTCTGGAGGCTTTCTGGCTTTTTTTTTCCCCACCTTTTTGAGTCACACCTGGCAATGCACAGGGGTTACTCCTGGCTCTGTACTCAGGAATTACTCCTGGCAGTGCTCAGGGGACCATATGGGATGCTGGGGATCGAACCTGGGTTGGCTGCATGTAAGGCAAACACCCTACCCGCTGTTACCCGCTGTGCTATCACTCCTGCCCCTAGATTGTTTGTTTGTTTGTTTGTTTGTTTTTAAATTTTGGTTTATGCTTTGTTTTGGGGCCAGACCTGGTGGTCCTCAGGGCTAACTCGTGGCGTTACACTCCAGGGAGCAGACGGAATTCCAGGGGTGGAACCCGGCTTGGCCTGGTGCCAGGCAGATACCCTCAATGCTTCCCCCACAACGGAGGCTCTCTCACAGCTGCCCTGCTAGCCCATGTCCTCCTAGTCCTCTCTGTCCCTCGCTGCTGCTTCCACTCCACAGAGGCCTGTGTTCACCCCAGAACAGGCTTCACTCTTCCTCCACCCTCACAGCTAGCTAAGGAATTTCCCATCAATACGACCTTGCTTCACATATATGCACAAAAAGAGGCTCTCTCGCTGGGAAGGAATCAAAAATACAAGCAGGGCACCAGCTGGGCGGGCAGAGCGCATCGGGACCCCCCGGGTGACGGGCACACGGGAACAGACTCAGGCCAGGAAGCACAGTGCAGAGAATTACCTATCGTAATTGTTGAGGTCATCCCCATTCCCGTTGAGAGCCGCCTCGGACATCATCTCCACTTTCATCTTGAGGTCCTGATTCTTTCTTTGGAGGTCCACAATCACGGAATTCAGGAAATCAATCTGTGTTAAAGGAGAGCGTGAGATGGTGAGCCAATTGTGGGAGCCATTGGAGCCCGCCACAGAGAAGGCTGGGCCCCTCTGCCAGTCCCTGCCCCAGGGTTTGAGGCAGCCAGAGCTCCCCTTTCCCTTCCTAAGCGCAAGCTCCCGGGTGCCCCAGGGAAGACCCCCGGAGGACATGCTGGGCCCCCTAGGTTTCTTTCAGAGCAGGGAGTGAAGAGGGGCCTTCCCTCTCCTACAAAGACAGACTCACTTCTTTAAAACTGATGTGGGGGGGGGGGGGAATCCCACTTTACAAAAGCAAGCATGACTGTAGTCACAAACATTCATGTTTCATTTAAAACATGGCGCGTTTGTGTCTGAGTGATAGCACAGCGGGAAAGGTGCTTGCCTCGCACGCAGCCAACCCAGGTTTGATCCCTGGCATCCCATAGGGGCCAGCAGAGAGCAGCCAGGAGTAAATCCTGAGTGCAGAGCCAGGAGGAAGCCCGGAGTATCGCCAGGTGTGGCCCCCAAAGAAAGTATAAAGAAAACCAGAAAAATAGACTGATTCTTTTTCTCCCTCAGGGCAAGGTCTGATGAGGAGTCTCTGAGAGTGCCCAGGCCCTCCCACACTGGCGCCAAGAAACGATTCCCACTTCCCTCCGAGACACGGTCCTGTTAGGAGCTACCGTTCAGGAAGAGGAAAAGGCCAGAGCAAGGATACAAATCTAGAGGGGAAAGCCAGACACGCTTCCACGGACACACACACAGACATGCTCCCCAGTGCTCGCGTGAGCACACACACTCACAAATGAGGAAAACAACAAACCATTTGCTGATTAGGAGGAAAGTGTTGGCGGCAACAGGAGGCACAAGTGGAAGCGGAGGCAAAGGAGAGAGAAAACAAGGTTAGCTGGCTTGAATGGTGGTGTGGAAATTTGAAATAAGCATGGTGAGAAGGTGTAATAGTTGTGGGATTGGTGTTGAAATACTGAATGTAATCAATCAATAATGTGAACAACCTTATGAAACAACAAAAACAACAACAACAACAACAAAACCCAACAAGGGCCAGAGCAATAGTGTAGGTATTTACTTTGTACCCGGCTGACCTGGGTGGGATCCCCGGCACCCCCCATGGTTCCCCAAGCCTTACCAGGAGTGATTCCTGAGTGCAGAGCCAGGGGTAAGCCCTGAGCACCACGAGGTTTGGTCCCCAAACTAACAACCAAAATAAAACATAACAAGGAAGCAACACAGCAAAGAAATATTACCTGATTCTCCTGGGCCCTTTCATCCTCATCTGCTTGAGAATCAGAATTACCTTTTAGTTAAAAAAAAAGAGTGAGTATAGGTCTTTGAAAATGTGCCTTTTTCCGAGATTAGTACCAGGAAATTTACTCCATGGCTTGGAGGCCAACCACACATACTAGGGAAAAAGGGAGCTCAGATAGAGAAGTAGACTATAGACCAAACATGATTGTCACCCACTGCCTCTTTTGCAAACCACAACACCCAATAAGAGAGAGAGAGCAAAAGGGAATGTCCTGCCACAGAGGCAGGGTAGGATGGAGGGATGGGGGGTGGGAGGGATACTGGGATCCGTGGTGGTGGGAAATGGGCACTGGTGGAGGGATGGGCATTTGATCACTGTATAACTGAAACCCAAGCACAGAAATTTGTAAGTCTACAACTGTACCTCATGATATCTCACTAATAAAAAAAAATGTGCCTTTTTGGGGCAGCAACAGTTCAGGAGGTAGGGGGTTAGACCTCTGGTCCCCTGAATGGTCCCTTGAGCAGGGTGGTCCCTGAGCAGAACCAGCAGTAAATTCTGAGCACCGCAAGGTGTGACCCCAAAACCAAACTAACCCCCATCCCCAAAGTGCCTTTTCGCCTTGTTTTGGTCTCTTATTTTGGCGCCAAAGCTTGTGGACCCGGGGACACTACCGCGAGCCCATGCTCCAGGCAGGTGCCCAAGTTCACCCTCCTGTGCAGCCAGCTGGGGGGGGGGGGGTGGAACAGGGGGGCTGGTGCCCCCCGAGGTGTGGGAGAGGGCGGAGAGCAGGCACCCCTCAGCGGTAGTATTTTACCTGCCGAGCTCTGGAGTTGCCTTTTGTTCTCTTTGAGTTGAAGCTCCAAGTTTTTGACCTTGAGCTCGAGCTTCACCTTGTCGGATTCCAGGGATTGAACAACTGAATGCAAGGACTTGGCAGAGGCATTTTCTCCCCTCAGCACAGAGACCTGCAACACAGGGGTGTGGCTTAGGCCCATGTGGGCGTGGCATGGGCCAAGATGGGCGTGGTTCAAGCCTGAGTGGGCATGGCTCAGGCCAACGTTGGCGTGGCCCGGGCTGAGATGGGCGTGGCTCGGGTCTAAGTGGGCGGGGCGGCGACTCTACCTCATTTCTCAGCTTCTCCAGCTCTGCGTCCTTCTCCGTGAGCAAGGCACTGGTAATACTGATGGATTTCTGCAGGGAAGCTTTCTCTTCATCGGAGTCTCTTATTAACTCGGATTCTCTAAAAGACCAGAGAGTTCAAAATGCCAGAAATCAACCCAGAGAGAGGCCAGTGCACAACTGCCCTAGAAAGAACGGTCAATGAACCTCAGCTAACGATAAGTGGAGGAAGGCTCCCAGTACTATTGCGGGGGGAGGGGCCCAGGCTTTTACGCTTGCAAAATTTTAGTGAAATTTTACTTACTGTGAGGGAGAAAAAGTTTGCCTATGTGTACATGCCAGAACCTGCATATCATTGTGTCCATTTGAATTTAAAGAAACAAGTTAATAACTCTGGGAGATGGAGAACACAAAGAAAAAAGAAAAAAAGGACTTGTTGCACCCCCACCCCACCCCCAAAAAAAGAATTCTTTTAAAAACCTAATCCCAGGTTGAAGTGCTATTTCTTGAATAAATTATTACCAAGCAATTAAAACACACACACATGCAAAGCAATTATACGAATGTCATGCAGAGCGGCTTTATGCTGGGAGTATCCATTGGTTCTCACTCATTTCAGTAACTTTCAGCAAGTTCGGAGAATGTGTTTTTGAAACCTTTCTGAGCCAGAATAGGGGCAAAGATTGTTATGACTAATCCAACAGAGAATGATTTTCATCCAGACTCTGGAGAGGACCAAAGTGAGTTGCTCTTAAACAAAAAGGCAATTCGCAAAAGGCCAGAACAGAAAGATGAACATGGGTTTCCAGTAGAGGATGAGAGCTTGGGGCACACGGAACGTGTGGCCTCACACCCTCGGCCAGACTCTCCTCCGGGCTGGCTTGCACAGGAGGAGGAGGAGGACCTGGCCTGGGGAGAGAGGGCGGCAAGACAGGGAAGGAGCGAAGACACAATAGATACAACCCAACGGGTGCGTGTGTGGCTGAGTGTGTGTGTGTGTGTGTGTGTGTGTGTGTGAGCATTTACACCACAAAATCACGTGTGTGGGAGAGCACAGGGTGGGGACGGACGGCCAGTCAAGACTGGGCAATGCCACAGCCTGGAAAGGACATGAGAGGGGATAGAAGTGTGGCTCCTGGGATGCATATTTGGAGAGAGACAGAGGTGCGTGTGAAGTGGGGGATCTCATTAAAGTCTGGGGTCCAGGACAGCTGTGGATGTTCGTCTCCTACTCAGTGGTTCGAATCTGTGTGCCTTGGGGATGGAGGGATGTGCAGCCCTGGGAGAAGTCGGGAAGGCCAATGGGAACTCCCTCCATCCCACCTTGCGGCACTGAGTCATGCATGTTTAGATCACATGCACTGGGCCATAGCACCAGTGATGCGGGCAGGTGACACAGTGAATGAGGCGTAACTTACAGCAACAAGCCGAGTCTCCCTGGCCCCTGGGTGAGTGGGTGAAGGAGAAGCATGTTCCGAGGGTCGGATCCCTCCGAAAACTGACAGGAGGAATCGGAGACTGAGGCCCATGTTAGAAATGGCAGAATGTATGTCTGGTTAGTGAGACCCAAGATATCCGCACACACATTACAGAATACTCATGGGTTTATGGCAAACTGAAATTCTCACAGAGATGAAAAGAGATTTTCTCAGTGTGTGGCTCACACTTACACTTCAGATCATTAAGCAGTAAGAAAAGAATCTGAGACTAACAGAGATCTCTTGAATTCAACACGCAAGGGCTGGACATATACCGGAAAGGGTGGACTTCTGGGCAGTTAAGCTATTACATGAGTAACACCTCGCTAGGAAATAGGATCTTGTTTAGGTGGAAATAAGAGGGTTTTAGTGGAAAGGAAATGGCTGATGCGACCCCGTGGGTCAGGAATCTTGACTTTCCTATGGCATGTGTTTGGGGGCTGGGCTGGGGTCTACGCTTCACAGACAGGAGAGCTCGGTTGGTCCCCACCACTGCATGGTCTCTGGAGGTGGGAATGACTGGAGAGCACTGCGTCCCCAAAGCAAAGCAAAACAAACTTATTTGGAAACTGATCCCACTGTAAGATTATTTTAAGAGTTCCTTGCTCTAACTCTAACACACACTTAGAAAATCTGATTTTAAATATTTGTTCAAAGTGAAGGGGTTTAAGGAGGATGAGCAGATTCCGATTTTTTTTTTGGGGGGGGGGGTCATACCGGGAGATCTCAGGGGATCTTCCTGGTTCTGCACTCAGGAATTCCTCCTGGCGGTGCTGAGAGGGACCATATGGGATGCCAAGGATCGAACCCAAGTTGGCCGTGTGCAAGGCAAATGCTCTCCACACGGGAATGTCGCTCCAGTCCCAGATTCCCATTCTTTGGTCAGGACTATCCAACTTGCCTGAGCCATCAGTTCTGAGGCAGGAGGAGAGGGCAGCTTTCTTGGCGTGTTCCTGACACAAGCCTGGAACATTGCACAATCACCCGGCAGGCTGTCCACGAGGGGGCACATGTGGTGACCCCAACATGGACACGGCCAAACAGACCCCAGCAGCTGCTCCTGCTGACCAGTCCTTACGACTAATTCCTTTGGTCTCTTCTCAGCTCTGACTTCTACCATGCAAGCCACAAGTGGCTAGAGGACATCGGGCGTCTTTACCGATGCCCGAGTCACAAACACGTGGGCCCCTTTAAAGCCACATGCTTTAGATTTGGTGTCATGAGAAACAGCAGAAGGAGGAGAGCCGGAAGGGAGGTCTCCGGGGCCAGAAACCTTTCCCAAGAGATCACACTATCCAGATTCTTTCCTTACGACTTACATAAGAAATAAATCTCAGTCATGATGCAAATACCTTAAAGTTTTACTGGGCAACTTTAAAAATGCAAATAACAAGATCCAAATATTAGAAACAGGAAGAGAAATGCAAATACGGCCAGGAGAACTAAATTGGCACTAAAGTTCTTTGCTGTGGCTTGATCGAAAAGGTGCGTGGGTGCGTGTGTGTGTGTGTGTGTGTGAATATGCGTTGTGTGTGTTGTCAAGAGTATTTTACGAAACAAAAGCAAGACACAGAGGGACGAAGGCAGCCAAAAAATATATATACAACGACTTGGTTTACTAAAAAAATATATGAAATTTATTTATTATAACGTGGATAGACTTTCTTTAGTCTTACCATCAAAGACACACAGATAGAGCAAAGGAAGCAGGAGTGGGAGGGAAAAGAGAGGGTGAGGTGAGCACGGCAGCGCGCGAGCGCAGAGACAGCCAGACATCAGCACCCACAGTGAGCTCAGGACCGCGGAGACTGCCTCCCGGCCCCGCAGATTTCCTGACCCAAAGCCCGCGCCTGACATTCTGGTTCTGGTATCTGTCCTTGACCGTCAGGGAAGTGGGGGACTCTGAACAGGACTTCCCACCCCCCCCCGCCCGCCATCCTCTCTGGGCTTTAGCAGTAGTCTGAGCAGGGCAGGACTGGCCCTGCCTTCCGCAGCTGGACCTGTTTTGAACCTGTCTGAAAACCCAACTTGGAGACAAGTTCCTGAGAGAAACGCTGACTTTCACAAAGTGCAGAGACACACCTTTGGCACACATCGCGTGCAACTAAGCTGGAGATAACAACAGTCTGGGGATAACCCGCAGCAAACCCAGGGGCTGGGTGAGTGTAGCTGACTTCCTCGCTCAGAGGCAGGAGTTCTGCGCCTCCATGTGGGAGCCCAGGACGGAGAGAGCCTCCGCCATCAGGATTGCATGCCACCAAGGCCCTTGGGGGCAGGCAGCGGTTTCTGCAAGAACCCAGGGAAACTGGACCTAGACCCTTCCTAGGCTTTCAACCTGAGAGCAGAGCAAATTCCTTTTAGCACTTTATCTACCATCATACTCAGACCTACATCTGAATCCTTTACAATCTCTACCTGGCGATGAAGATCCTGGGATTAGCTACAATAGAGTTGTCTTCAGATTTCTGAATCAGACAACTTGCCATATTAACGAGAAGAAACAGTTCAATATTTGAGACCACGTTTTAAAATTTTTTACTCCCACAAAAAATAAATAAAGTCATCATTTGTTCCTTAGATTCACTGAAAGTTTTTTTTCTTTGGGGTGGAAGGGTGCACACCTAGCCATGCTCAGGGTTTACCCTGGCTCTGGGCTCACAGTACCACATGGGGTGCCAGGGATTGAACCCAGCTCAGCTGTGTACAAGACAAGATCATACCAGTTCTACAACTTCTCCAGCCCCTGAAGGAGTGACTTTCCATGGATGGTTGCATAAACATTCCTGGGACATGGAGGGGAGAGGGGGGCGCGAGCAGAGGTGATGAGACAGCAGAGGGAAATGGGCAAGTGGTTAAATGGGTCATTTATTTTTTTAAATTTATTGATTTTTGCCGGCGGTCACACCTGGCAATGCACAGGGGTTACTCCTGGCTCTGCACTCAGGAATTACTCCTGGTGTTGCTCAGGACGCCATATGGGATGCTGGGAACCCGGGTCGGCCACGTGCAAGGCAAACACCGTACCCCGCTGTGCTATCGCTCCAGCACTAAATTGCATGCCAAGAGCAGTGTCTTAAAAAACAAAAACAAAATGAAACATAAAACTGCTTCCCGTTCTGACGGACAGTTCCTCCTCAAGCCAGGGGCGCCATTATTGGTTCTGAGGTGACTGTGCGTTGTGGGGGCCATGGGGGATGATGGGACTCTGGTGTCTGTGTGCTCCCAACTTGGGAGCTGTCTCCTGCAAATAGCACCAGGTATGAACCGACCGTTTGGGACCAGCTCTGGGGCGCCGGGAGGATGAGCGGATGAAAGGAGCTGAGATAGGCGGCAACCGTGGACGCGCAGCAGACCCGACAATCGCCACTCAAGAGTACGGAGGAGGGGGGTGCGCTGTGTCACAGGGAATTACAGCACAGTAGATTTCATGGGAAACACATTTCCCTTCCTTGTGTCCTCCATCTTCAGCAGCCTGGCAGTGGGCTGGCCTTGGGGATACTCCTGGCTCCTTGCTGGGGGCTGGGTGGAGGGAGGGAACTCTGCCTCCTGCAAAGCCTGTGCTCCCTGCGGCCCCAGACTTCAGAGCAAAGCTCAGATATGCTTAGGCCCATCTGCCTTTTTCTTTTCTTTTGTTTTGGGGCCACACCTGGTGATGTGAGGGGCTTACTCCTGGCGCTGCGCTCAAGGATCACTCCTGGAGAGGGGAGGGTTCACCTGGGATGCCGGGGAACAGGGATCGACCCTGGGTTGGCCTCAAACAAGGCAAGTTCCCTGCCCGCTGTGCTATCCCGCAGTTCCCCTATTTGTCCTTTTCATTCTGACTTCCGTTTGCATTTCTGCAGCAAGTTCAAATTCTGGGCTTCTCTGCTCCACCTCAGTTCAAGATTTTTTCCACCCTGTGGAATTATGTCTTTTTCTCCTGATACTCTGAAGTTTTTGTTCTCCTGAGTCATAACAGTAAATGCAGAAAACGAATCTGTAACAAGATAGTTCTTTTTGTTTGGTGGCACATTTGGCGGTGTTCAGGGCTTACTCCTGGTTCTGTGCTCAGAGAGCACTCCTGGCGGTGCTCGGGGGACCATACGGAGTGTGGGAATCAAACCTGAATCAGACAAAAAGCAAGGCAAGAGCCTTCCCACTGTGATATCATTCCAGCCCCATGGAGTGAAAAAGTGAAAAAAAAAAGTCTTTTTACATGTAAGGGAATATGTAGTTTTTAATTAAAATAACACTAGCATGTTACTTTTTTTTTATTTTTAAATTTTTGGGTCACACCCGGCGATGCTCAGGGGTTACTCTTGGCTCTGCACTCAGGAATTACTCCTGGTGGTGCATGGGGGACCATATGGGATGCCGGGGATCGAATATGCAAACGCCTTAGCCATTGTACGTTGTGCTATCATTTCAGCCCCTAACATGTCATTTAAAAAAAAAAAAAGAAAGAAAAAGAAAAAGAAAAATTTGTGTACAGAAAAGTGGTCATTTTCTTCCCCTTCCAGATTAGTCACTGCTGAATTTTTGGTTGTCACTTTTTTGGTTGGTCGTACGGTCTTCTTACTGAAGTAATAAGACTGCAGATTCTACTGCTGCCACTGGGTTCAAAAGTCTGTATTGCTAAATAATATCTGATTTATATATTTTTTTTGTTTCTGTTTATGGGTCCTACCTAGTTGTGCTCAGGGCTTACTCCTGCCAGTGCTTAGGGACCACATGGGATGCTGGGGATTGAGCCCAGGTCAGCCTCAGGCAAGGCCGGGCCCTCCCCGCAGTGCCATGGGTTCTGCCCCATGTTTAGATTTTTATTCCTGTCTTAGGCATCCGTTGTGCGACTCTCCTCTCCTCTGCTCTTCCAGTACAATTGTCCAAAGGCTTTGCTTGGCAGTGTTTTAGCACAGGGGCTGTTTCAAGAGCAGATGAATTTGTCGATTGCAATGCAAGACATCAAACCACACGGGGTGGGGGCGGGGTTATCGGTAATTACACCCCCAGGGTGCATGTTCCCTGACCCCAAGATGACCGGAACAAACTTGGGAATTTCTCGCACTTCCCACATTGCTGCATACCAGAGGCTCTTTTCCAATAAATAAAGCCCATTTGTGTCAAACACATGTCCTGGGGTCCCACAGCAAAGCCAGTGGGGTGAAGGGGTGAAGGGGTGAAGGTTGTTTCTGCAGCTTAGGGTCCTGGGGAGAGGGCGGGGAACTTTAAAGAGGAGTGAATCTGAGGGTTAGTTTGTTCTTTTTTTGAGGGCCACTCCAGGTGATGCACCAGGCTTACTCCTCCTGGCTCTGCACTCAGGGGTCACTCCCCGTGATGCTTGGGGGACCATGTGGGGTGCAAGGATGGAACCCGGGTTGGCCGCGTGCAAGGCACACACTTTCCCCTGTACTGTACTATCGCTCCAGCCCCAAATTTGAGTATTTCTTAACTTAAAAAGAAAAAGGGAGATGGTAGCCCTGCCTCCTAGCTTTGCGGCCTATGTAAAACAATCCTTAAGCAACCGAGTAGAACTTGAAAGTCAAATCAGTCTTGCCTGGGGCAGCAGTTCGGGGCAGGCCCTGGGTTCAGGGTTCAATCCCTGGTACCCCAAACCAAAACACAGATCTTAACGTTGCCAGTATGTTTTCATAGCTTGTCAGTGAACCAAATGTTCAGAGTATAGTTTTCTGAATACATTTGCTTTGTACAAGTCACGGCACACATTCTAATGTTTTCTTTCCTAAATACACAGTCGTGCGCGCGTACACACACACACACACACACACACACACACACACACACAGTAAACACAAAAAGAAGACCTACCTCTTTTTCATTTCTAACAACTGATTATTAAGCACAGATCTCTCTTCCTCCAGCTGAAAAAAACAAAACAAAACATGGAAATGTTCAGTTCCCAACAAGTCCATGCAGGGTCCACCTCCACAGCCCACACGCAAAATTCACTTCAGCCCACATGTGCCCTCCAGTACCACCGGCTGTTAAGTACAGAAGTGCAGGAAGTGAGGGTGTGTGGGAACTCCTCAGGACACTAGGACCCAGATGGTCCCCTTCCTAGGAGAGGATTCAAACTATAAATTGCTGCAGGCCCGGGTGGGATGGAAGGGGGTTGGGGAAGGAGAGACATCAAGGAGGCCCCAAGGCTCACTCCTGCCGCAGGCCAGACCCAAGCCTGGTGATGGTAGGTGCGGGCACTGGGGTCTGGAGCCAAGTGTGCGAACCCCAGAGGACCCCACCCAGCTGTCTCCCTCAACAGGAGCAAGAAGCAGGAAGGCGGCCCAGAGGACCAGACTCCCCCAGCTCTGCGCCCAGAGCATGCACAATGTGGCCGGGACAGCCACATGCTGGTGGGCGGTTCCGTTTGCAACTGAACCTACCTGGCGGGGAAGAGGCCCTCCAAAGTGGTGTTCGACTCTGGCAAAGTGAAGATTTGCCAATTTTATGGGAGCCCGAAGCCCAGGTTCTGGAGAGCAGCAAGAGTAAGGGCAGTGGAGGGGTCTGGCTTCTCGGGCTCTGGCAAGGACATGACCCCTTGACTGAAGGGATGTGTCCTTGTCCATGGGGCCTTTCACTCCTTAAGCATCACCTCTTGTGCTGGGAGTGTGTGTGTGTGGGGGGGGGGGGTTCTGGCAGTGGGTGCCCAGCCCCTGTTCTCACGGGTGCCAGGTGAGCACAGCCCCTTCTTCCTCAGCTTCCTTCTTTTTGGCTCCTGTTATTTTATTTAATCAACTAATGGGGGGGGGGGGGGGGGGCTTTTAGGGTCACAACCCGGAATTGCTCAGGAGTGACTCCTGGCTCTGCACTCAGGAATTACTCATGGCGGTGCGTCGGGGACCATATGGGATGCCAGGGATGGAACCTGGCTTGGCCATGTGCAAGGCAAACACCCTACCTGCTGTGCTACAGCTCCGGCCCCATTCTCGGATATTTTATATGGTAGATATTCCCCGACTCTTTTGAAGCATACACGCATATATACATATGTACATGTCTGTGTATGTATGCATGCTTATCTATAACCTTTGTGGGTAGTCAGTTTGGTTTGTTTGGGGGCCACACCCGGTGGGGTGGGGACTAAGCCCTGGCTCTCTGCTCAGGGATCACTCCTGGCGAGGGAGGAGCAGCCCAGGCCGTCAGCAGTCACTCAGCCTGGGAAAGCAGGGCTGTGAGGTCAGGGGGCACTGGCTTGCCTTCTCATGATCATCAAAGAGCCTTGAGACGCTGCGTATGTCAACACATGTGGCTTCTCTTCCTTTCCCGGCCCAGGCTCTGGGCGAGCTAACTGGGGCGTCCAATGCCGGTCGGGCTCCCTGCTCCTCTGAGCAGCCTGGGAGTGGTCAGCTGCTCAGTGATCTTGCCAGGCCACCCCATGTCCCCCGGATCCTGTGTGGTCACTCCGCGAAGCACCTCCCCAGGGGTCATACAGGGGTCATGCAGGGGTACACTTCCCCTCCTGTGCCATGCAAGAACCAGGGACCACATGGCAAGGCTATCTTCAAAGGTACATTCTGAGCTGCTTCTCTGGGGTCAGAAGAGACCAAAGTGTGGCACTTTGGTCCCACAGGTGAACAGGGGGGACAGTTCCTCCTCAGCCCCATGTTTGGAGTCTGGGAAACTCGCCAGGACTGACCGCAAGGCAGAAGCCAGCTAGGGGTTCCCTTGCTGACTCGGTTCCAGCGACCAGGCTTGTACCCCACTTAGGAAGTCTAGGGGTGCACCTTTGTCTCGGGGACACCCAGGTCCATTTCAAAAGGCCGCTGCCAACCCTCTCAAACCTCCATGCTGGAAATCTCTTTCCTTACAATCAGGTCTACTGAGAGGAAAGAATAATCAGCCGGAGGGGATGATTTGGAAACCCAAGCACGCGTTCTAGGGGAAAGATGCCCCAACTGCTGAAATGCCACCCAGCACCATGCGTCTGTGATATGGGGGATTTTTTCCAACTTGTTTTAACATTTTTCTTTTAAAGGTGCCTTCGGAGGAAAGCAAGGTGACGCAGAGCACTGGTAACCCTGATGCCCGCAGGGATCCCCCGAATCCCCCGCGCCGGGCCCCCTGACCTTCTGTTGGCTCGTGACCTGGTCCCGGCTGCGGCCCAGCTCCTCGGCAAGTTTCACGTTCTCCTCCTGCAGGGCTGAGAGCTGCTGTGAGTTCTGGGCGGCCGCCTGCCTCAGGATTTCTCTGCAAGGACAGCATAGCCAGCGTTACCATGGAAATAGGCAGCCCAGCCAGCGGAAACCGATGCAGTCACGTGCCTGATAGCATCCATCATATCAGCAGGCGGGGTTGGGCCGCAGGGTCTCACACAGCCCACGGTGTGACAACTTTTTAAGCGAGTGACACCCTTCACTCGTGCGCCCCGCCTCGAGAGTGTTCTTACTGTTTCAGAGGGGCCGCGGTGGGGGCTGGCGCTAGGCCTCTCTGGGTCCGTGGAGCTCAGGAACGCTCCATGCTGAAAAAGGGGATATTCTGCACCCCATGGAGAATTTTTTCTTTTGGCAAAAATAAACTGTCTTATTTGTCAGTATCTGTCCACTGGCCAGCCTGCGCCTGACTCAGGTGAAACGCCTGAAGGAAAGGCTGTCAGCTCACTCCCCAGCAGGTGGGTGCCAGGGTGGAGTCGGGAAAAGTACCTCCAGGAGCCTGGGTCAGAGCACAGTGGGGAGGGCGTTGGCCTTGCACACAGCAGACCTGGGTTCCATCCCCGGCACCCCATAGGACGCCCCAACCACACCAGCAGTGATCCCTTAGCACAGAGCCAGGAGTAAGCCCTGAGCACAGCCAAGTGTAACCCCCCCACCACAAAAGTAAAATGAAACAATGATTTAAAAAGAGAGACCCTGCAAGGCCATGGCACGCAGATCCAATGTGAATAGGGTAAATAAATTCAAACAGCCTCCCATTATTAATTATTTCAACACACACATCCCAAACTATTGGGGGTGGGAGTGGCGTACACACTGCTGTGCTAGGAGTCGGGCCCAGGGTGGCCACATGCAAGGCAAGCGCCTACTCACTGTAGTGGGTCTTGGCCCCACTCCTCCCAAACCACTGTTCTTACAAGGATGTTACAAATACTTCATCTGAGGGTTGCATTTCTGGTTTATGCCATAAAAGGCTGTGGTGACGGTGAGACTGTCTGTGTTGGCTGAACCCCATGCGAGCTGTCACGCTGACTGTGTGCCGATCCAGTCACCGAGGGCTGGATCCATCTGTCATGCCTGAACACAACTATTTTTAACCTGCAGTGTCTAATGGGTGGTGGCGTTCGTTCGGCACCTTTCAGTTCTCTTGATTTGTTAATTCCCATCCCCTATACTTTGCACACTAGGGTGACCCCATGAAGATTTAAGGGGTCAAATCCACATCAAAATGCTCTCAATGATTAAATGAGGCATGTTTCAGAGCTATTTATTTAGTGATGGGGGGGAGGTATTTCAGGCCTGAGATAATTAGTCATTTAGGAGCTGGGAGATTTAATTTTAATTACGGATGAAAAATCTCCCTCCCTCCCTTTCCTCTCCCTATCTCCATCTTCTGACAAATGAGCAGCTTTCACTTAGCAAATGGTCACCAGCCAAACCTGGTTGCAGGCGGTGCCTGCTTTGGGGAGACTGCTCAGTCTCCCGTGGAAGCCACACAGTGACTCCCGATCCACTTGCAGTTCCAGAAGGATCTTTGTGTCCCCAAGGCCACCAGTCATCCCCTCAGCCACATTCGTGTCTCTGCTTCTCATGGAGCCCTGCTCCTGAACGCCCACGGGGAAGGCTGCCAGCGCCCACACAGGTGTAGGGGGATGGGAACTGTCCATTCCACTTTACAAACCTCCCATATATATTTTTAAAAACCAGCATTGGAGTTGGAGTGGCAGTAGAGCAGGCAGGGTGCTTGCCTTGCAGGCTGCAAATGCGCGCTGGATCCCTGGCACCCAATATGGTCCCACAAGCCTGCCAGGAATGGTCCCTGAGCATTACTGGGTGTGTCCCCCCAAAACAAACAAACAAACAAAAGACCCAGCAATTGCTTTCACTTTTGCTGCCTAAAATAAAGTCGGTTTTTTTTTCTTTTTTGGGGTCACACCCAGCAATGCTCAGGGGTTACTACTGGCTCTGCACTCAGGAATCACTCCTGGTGGTGCTCAGGGGACCATATGGGATGCCGGGAATTGAACCTGGGTCAGCCACTTGCAAGGCAAATACCCGACCTGCTGGACTATGGCTCTGGTCCAAACTGAAGTGATTTAATTAAGCGATTTCTCTCAGAGGAGATAAACTTACATTGCACTCAGGAATTACTCCTGGCGGTGCTCGGGGGACCATATGGGATGCTGGGGAATTGAACCCGGGTCGGCTGCGTGCAAGGCAAATATCCAACCTGCTGTGCTATCGCTCTAGACCCCTAAACTTACATTTCTTTCTTGAATTCTTCCATCTTTTGATTCTCTATAGTCAGAAGCTCTTTCGATTTGTTCAGCTCTTCCACATTCTTCAAGTTGTTTTCCTTAAGGGTATCCAACTTAGAGAACAAGAGAAAAAAAACTTGGTGAAATGCTTCTGTTTTCCAGTAGCATGGATGGGGACACAAATCAGACGTGAAGACGCAAGTTTGAATAGCAAAGGGCCGGAGACACGCGGCTCAGCGGGCGTCTTGCAGCGCACCCGTGCAGGAAGCCCCGTCTGCAGGAAGCAGACCCTGAGCACTGTTGGTGGTGGCTTAAAAGACCGAAAAAGAACAGACACCAGAGGCTCATGACAGAGACAAAAAGGACTCGAAATGAAGAAAGCCCCTCCCCAGCCCTGAGTGTATTAGCTGCATGACTAAGGATATGGTTTTTCTTTTTTTTCTTTTTGGGTCACACGGCAATGCACAGGGGTTCCTCCTAGCTCTGCACTCAGGAATTAATCCTGGCGGTGCTCAGGGGACCATATGGGATGCCGGGGATTGAACTGGGTCTGCCGTGTGTGAGTCAAATGCCCTCCCCGCTGTGCTATCGCTCTGGCCCAGGATATGGTTTCTCTCAAGGCTGAGGCCGGGCCTACACAGCCCTGGTCACCACCATCACCCACCTCACTCTGCAACTTGGCATTGGTGTTCCTGGTGTCCTCCAGGGAGGCCAGGGTCTCTGTCTTCTCTTTGGTCATTTGCTCCATGAACTGCCTGTTATCTTCTGCCGTCTGCACAGCCTGGAGAGAGAAACCTCATTGAACCATGCCGGGGGGCCAGGGGAGGGGTTGGCCACAGTGGCACAGCACGGCGTGAAACGCCCCACAACCTGCCACAGCGGTTCCAGCCCCCACTGGGCGCCGCTCACCCCGCGGGCACTCGCGTCTGAGCCGCTCAGTGGCAAGACTGATGCCCGACATAGCCCAATGCTCCCAAGAGCCTTCATTCCTCACACAGAATAAAAATGACATGAACGGACAGCTAAGCAGGCCTGGATGGAAAGCGTGGGGTGGGGGTGGGGAGGAAGGAGAGGAGATGTGAGCCGTGAGCACAGGTGTGGGAGTGAGCGAAAGGCAAACACTGAGTAAGCTGGGAAGAGAGAACACCTGCCTGCACCAGGTACCCTCAAGTCCAGGGTGCCCTGAACCAGGCACCTTGCAGGTGGCACAGGGCAACCCCGAGTCAGGCTGCCCTACACCAGGCACACTGCTGGTGGCACAGGGCACCCCCAATTCCAGGCTGCCCTGCACCGGGCACCCACAGGTGGCAAAGGGCAACCCCGACTCCCAAGTGAGCAGACTCAGGGCAACCGCTCGAAGCACCCCCAGAAGACACTGCTTTGATATACAACTTAGTGCCTCTCTCATGCCTTCCCTTACGTCTTTAAGAGCCACAGTGCAATCTTCCGTGAGAACTCCCCCCGGATATGAACATACTGTTCTTTTTCGGTTTTATTCACAGCTTATGTCTTGTTCTAGAGGTCACCAGGTACGTGGTGACGAGCTGTCCCTGCGCCTGCAGCAAACAGTCCGTGACACACGTGCGACGGGATCCATGGGGGTGCACCTCTCCTTGTGCCGATGAAGACCAATCCTCTTAACCGCTAAAAGGAGGTGCCCTGGGCCAACGGGGGTGGGGCGTGCTCCACTTTACCGTGAATGACTGCAGCGTCTCGAGCTCTCTGATCTTAAACGCGAGCTTGCTCTTGTCCTTCCTCAGCACACGGTTCTCCTTCTGGGCCTCCAGGAGGTTGGCCGAGACGTGGCTGCTGGTCTGGGCCAGCTGACTGACCTCCTTCTGGAGGAGGAAGTAACTGCCGGCCAGCTGCTCCTTCTCTTGTAGGAGCTCGGACCTCTCTTGCTGCAGCTCCCTCTTCTCGGCCAGCAGGCTCTCGTTCTCTTGCCCGGCCTGGGCCCGCTCGGCCAGGGCCGCCTCATGCTTGCGCTGCAGGTCGGCCAGGATCTCGGCGAGGCAGCTGTGCAGGCCCTGCAGCTCCAGCTTGGACTTGGACAGGGCCGCGAAGTCGCCCTTGAGGGCCTCGATGTTGGCAGCCAACCGGGCGGCGTCGACGCTCAGCAGCTCCTTCTCCCGCAGGATCTCGGCCACCTTCTGGTCTGACCGCGCCTTTTCCTCCAGCAGGTCCAGGCGCTCGGCCTGCAGCCCCTGCGCGCACGCCCGCAGCTCCTCCACCTCCTGCTCCAGCAGCCCCAGGCGGCCCCGCAGCTGGCTGGCCTCGTGGGCGGCCGTCTGGGTCTCCTGGGCGCGGGCCTCCCGCTCCTGCGCCAGGGCCTGCTGTGCCGCGAGCCTGTCCTCTGCCAGCCGCCGGCACTCCTCCTGCCGCTCGGCGTCGAGTGCCTCCTTGGCCTGCAGCACGCTGGCGTGTGTCTTCTCCAGGCTGCGGGCCGCGTCCTGGGCCTCCTGCAGCGCCGCCTCGAGGGCGCCCTGGCTGGCCGCTAGCCCCTGGTTCTCCTGGCGCTGCTCCTGGAGCTCCCGCTGCAGCACGTCTAGCTCGCCGAGCAGCTTCATCTTCTCTTGGACGGCCACCCGGTGCTTGGCGGCCTCCTCCTCGTGCTTCTGCTGCAGCTCGCCCAGGGCCTGCAGGGACGCTTCCCGCTCGGCCAGCAGCTCGGTCTGCTGCGCCTCCAGCAGCGCCTGGTCTTTCAGCAGCCAGTCCAGCTGCCGCTGGAGCTTGGTGGCCTTCTGGCCCAGCAGCTCCTTCTCGGAGCTCAGGCTGTTCAGCTGCTCGCGCAGGGACGACTCCACGCGAGCCGCCTCCTCAGAGCAGCGGCCGAGCTTCTGGGCCAGGAGGTCCTTCTCACCGAGGAGCTCCTTCTTCTCGGCCGCCAGCCGCCGCTCGGCCAGGCTCAGCGTCTCCTTCTCGTGCAGGAGTTGCACGCACTCCGAGTCGGAGATCTCCCGGCTGGTCTTGATCTGCTCCAGCAGCCGCGCAAGGCTGGCGTTTGCCGCCTGCGTCTGCAGCGCCTCCAGCTCGGCCTTGTGCACGGCCTTGGTGGCCTCTTCCAGCTGCGTGCGCAGGCAGCTTGCCTCGGCCCCCAGCAGCTCCTTGACCTGCAGTGACGCCTCCAGGCTGGCGCCCAGCTTCTCCTGTTCCTGGCGCAGCAGGTCCTTCTCCAGCTGCAGCTCCTTGTTGCTCTGAGCCAGGCCATCACGCTCTAGCTTCAGGGCCATGCACAGGCTGTCGAGGTCCGACTGCTTCTCGAGGGCCGACTTCTTCTCGGCCGTGAGCTCCTCTATCTCTTGCACCAGCGACTTCTGATCCCGAGCCAGCTCCTCGTAGGAGCACTGCAGCTTCTGGATGATGTTGTCCTTGTCCTTGGCCAGGGATAGGTTCTCCAGAACCAGCTTCTTGACATGCTCCTCCAGCTGGCCCCTCTCCTCCAGGCCCTTCTTACACTCGGCCACCAGGCTGCTCTTGCTAATCTGCAGCTCCTCCACCAGGGCCTGCAGCCCCACCTTGGCGACCTGCAGCGCGGCCTTCTCCGCACCCACCCTCTGGAGCTCCTCCTGCACCGCCCTGCCCTCTTCCAGCACTTTCTCTTTCTCCGCCTCAAGGGCTTCTCGGCCGAGCCGCTCCTGCTGGCAGAGCTTCTCTGCAGCCAGCCTGGCCTCGAGGACCTTCTCTTTGTCTAAGCGAATCGCTTGGTTCATCAGCCAGAGCTTCCTCTGATCTTCCCGCAGCGAAGAGTTTTTGGCCTCCGCTTCTGTGAGCTTCAATAGAAACGACCCTCTCTCTGACTTCAGAGAGAGCTTCTCCTTCGCCAGCAATTGCTTCTCTGACCTCAGGGCCCTGCGCTCCTCCGACATCAGCTCAATTTCCTCTTTGGCTGATGTGAACAAATAAGTTAATGACTACAGAAACAAAAAGCGGGGAAGAATGGAAATAAGAATGAGATCAAGCGGGCACAAGCAAGCCAAGCACTTATTGTGGCCTAAATAACAGAAATGAAAATGTTAGAGTAGTCTTACCCGCACACGCACGCATGCACACACGCGTGCACACACACACATACACAAAGGATGGAGAGGCTAAAACACAGTTTCACAGGGTCAACATACCTACCTGCCTATTTTTGGGATGGGGGCCCCACACCTGGTGCTGTTTGGGTCTCGCTCAGGGTTCTGTGCTCAGGGATCACTGCTGGCAGGGCCGGAGGACCAAACGGGATGCTGGGGATCAACCCCGGGTTGGCCGAGTACAAGACATCACCCTACCCATTCTACTATCAGCTGATTTTATTTTTGAAATGTCGTCTGAAATTATTCCTGACAACTCCCTGGAAGTTTTAAGTACAGTTGGATCTTGACATTGGGGTATAAGATTCCCCCCCCCTTCAATTATTCTATTATAAAATCCATCACTCCATCATAGAAGGGATTCATTAAAAAACAAGTTTTAAATACAATTCAAAGAACTACAAAGAGTATTATGTTTTTTAACTTTATGCAGGAGGGGAAGGGAAAAGCAACCACTGCTTGTCAAACTATTTTCTAAAGGACAGAGGCAGGAAATGGACTTAGTCCCAAAAGTTATACACTTTATAGAAAATCCAGACTAACCTATCAAGCTTTGGAGACTGAAGCCCAATGGTTTTTGCTTGCCAAACACAGTAACAACAAGTCTCAAAATGGAGATATCATTGGGCCCGCTTGAGCAAATCGATGAACAACGGGAGGGCAGTGTTTGCAGTAATTTGGGAGGGGCTCAAGGGCTCCTGCCGGCCCCGTACAGAGGTCACCGGGGCCGGTGCTGGACTCCAGGAGGAGTGGCTGCACGCGGGCCAGTGCCTCCCTTACCTGCTCTCCCTGCCCATCAGTGACGGGTTGTGCGTTTTCGTTTCTGAGTCTCAATGCACACCATAGTTTAACCGCCATGTACTTTCCAGAACTTTCTGCAGCAAGGGCTATCTTCTCTGTCCAGCTCAGCAGCCATGAGCCGCAGAAGGCTACTGGCGTGTGCTGGGCAGCTGACCGCTGATGGTCATGTTAACGGAATGGGACTGATCTGAGCATGCACACGAGGCTGCTGGCCACAGAACTGGGCCGTGCAGGTGGTCCAGAGAGGAGACGTAGCCCTGGCTGCGGTGCGTGCTGGAAAGAGGCCGGGCACCAACACACACACACGGGCCATGGCCGCCACTCAGCAGCCCTGGTTTCCTCTGATGTAAGCTCGCTTTCATTTTCTTTCCATTGGCTTATAGATATGTATACACACACACATATACATACAAGCACATATATATACACATATATGTATAAACTATACATGGTATCAAGCATGTAAAACTAAAAATGTATCAAAATATGTACATATGTATTAAAATACACTTAATATATGTATATAATAATGTACACATATGTACATGTTATGTATGTACACACATACATGTGTGTGTACATTATTTTCCTTTTTGTTTTGGGGTTCACACCCGGCAGAGGTCGCGGCTTCCTTCTGGGTGCTTGGGGGACCATGGTGGATGCTGGGGATCCCCTGTTGGGTCACGTGCACAACAAGTGCCCTCTCGCTGCACTAGTTCCAGCCGCTCTATTTCTCTCCACTGAGCCTCGAACCTTAACATTTCCCTAATACACACTAAAAAATGCCTTTGAGCAATCAAGTGAAAACACGAAGGCTTGAACTTACTGAACAAGCTAAAAACAAAACGGAAAACCCAAGCTGGGGTCCCTGGGCTTCTACGTGCTCGCCGGGCGCCCCGGGAGCAACCCCCTTCCAGCTCTCACAGCCGCCGCCGGGCGGGGGAAGTGTCTGAAGTTGCAGGCCGAGGCCCCCCCACAGAGATGACCCCGAGACGGCCGCCAGCAGCCGCGGCGCTGCCCTGCACCCACCCACCTTGGCCTTGTCGGCTTGCGTCTTCAGCTCGGCCACCTCCCGCAGCAGGCTCCCGTTCTCTGCCTGCGCTGCCTGCAGCTTCTCCTCCGCCTGCAGCAGCAGCTTCTGCAGGGCCTGCAGCGCCTCCTCGTGCTGCACCTGGCTCTCCGCGCTGGCCTTGGCGTGCTCGGCCTGCAGAGCCTGGCACTGGCTGCGGCTCACGTCCACCTTCTCCTCCTGCGGGGAGCCGGGGGCCACCGTCAGCCGCCGGACCCCTGCCCGCCCCCAGCACATACACACACACAACGCACACAAACATACACACCCGCACATACACGGCCCCTCTGCTCTGCTCACCAGCACACACACACAATGCACACACACGCACACGCGCACACACGGCCCCTCTGCCCTGCTCACCAGCACACACACACAAACACACTCATACACGTGGCCCCTCTGCTCTGCTCACCAGCACACACAAGCACACAAACACACACAACAGACAAAAACACATACATGCACACACGTGACCCCTCCGCTCTGCTCACCAGCACACACACACACACACACACACACACACGTGCGCGTACAAGTGGACTCTCTGCTTTGCTCACCAGCACACACAAACACATACAAACACACACAACACACACAAACACACACATGCACACATGTGGCCCGTCCGCTCTGCTCACCAGCACACACACGCACGTGCGCATGCACACACACGGCCGCTCTGCTCTGCTCACCAGCACATACACATACATGCACACACAGAAACACACACAACACACATACATACATGCACGCGCACACACCGCTCTTCTGCTCTGCTTACCAGCACACATACACATACACACACGCACACACGTGGCCCCTCCACTCTGCTCACCAGCACACACATGCACACGCGCATACACGTGGCTCCTCTGCTCTGCTAACCAGCACACATACACATACACACATGCATGCACACACACGCACACACGCGGCCCCTCTGCTCTGCCCACCAGGTCCGACAGCTTCTTGTGCAGCTCCTCCTTCTCCTCGTGCCTCCTGGCCGCTTCCTGCTGGCTCTGTTCTGCCCTGAGCATGGCCTCACCGATGCTCTTCTGCAGCAGGTCCGCGTGCTCGTTAGCCTTCAGGAGCTGCAGCTGTAATTCTTCCACACATCTACAAGTTGCCAAAAAAGCTGTCAAGAGTTTTCAGAAAAATACTGAAAACTTCTAGCGCTTCTGTGCCTAAAATAAGGGGCCACCAGTCAGTTCTGTCTTCGTGACGGTGTTGGGATCAACATCTGATGTGGGGAGGGGAAGCATGACGCGTTCTGAAAACTATCAATCGTGGCAGTTAGGAGTATAGCACGGTAACGCCGACTGCCCGGCTCAGTTTATCATTTCAGGATGATAAATCAGGATCAGAGGTCGGGGTGAGACTCGCGTGAGTGAGGCCCGAAATTCAGTTCTTGGCAATGGTTCGATGGGCTAAGGACACCACCTGCATGCAGGTGGCCTGGGTTTTCTCCCCTCCTGAGCACGGCCAGGAGTATCTGTGAGCACAGAGCAGGGAGCACTCTTTGAGTACCGCTGGGCATCAGTCCCTTACACCCCCCCCCAATAAAACAAAAACGAGTAATAACATATGAGAAAAAGTGTTCACAAAATTTGGGGTCCAGCTGACCAGGTGATCAAACCGTATCTCCCGCGGGAGAAAACAGCAAGACAGCACAATGGAGTTGGGGCTGATGGGGTCGGATGCGGTTGTGATCGGACAGGGTTGGCTGGGGCTAGGGAAGGGATCAGAGGGGTTCCAAACCCAGGAGGCAAGCTCTGTTGGGGGATCCCAGGATGGCCCCCAGATACCGGCACTCTCCGCGGGAAACTCCGACGCCGTGCCCAGCTGGGGCAGGTTGGCCGCTCGGCTAAGCGTTAACAGTGCAAGAGTCAAAGCTGAATGGTGGGGTTGGTGCGATAGCACAGCGGGGAGGGCGTTTGCCTCGCATGTGGCAGACCCAGGTTGGATTCCCAGCATCCCAAAGCATCCCCCGAGCACCACCAGGAGTAATTCCTGAGCGCAGAGCCAGGAGGAAGCCCTGAGCAGCACCGGGTGTAACACCCCCCCCCCAAAATAAAAAAAAAAAAATGGTTCTAAACATGACCGCAAAAGGTTTGTCTTGAAACACTTGTTCTTTATCCGGCAGCTATGCAGAGGGTAGAAGACAAGGGCCGGAAGCGGCAGAGGGGGAGCCTGCCGTGAGTGGCCGACCTGGGTTCCACCCCAGCACCCCATTATGACCCCGCAGCTGTGCCAGGAGTGACCCCTGAGCACCCCCGGGAGGGGCCCTAAGACAAAACAGAGAAACTTCTCTCCTTGTGACACGGGTCAGCTGTTCTTCCTCGGATGGGGACTATTCTGCTGCCTGGGACAGGCTGTGCCACAAGCAACCCGCCACCTTTTCTTCACAAATCACACAAAAAAGTGGGTGACACTGCGGCCTTTCTATTAAGCAGCTGACTTGAGGGTCCATGAAGGAGCCTCAGAGATCTCGGAAGAGGGCAGCAGAGAGAATTCCGGGAGGGTGACTCGCGGCTGCAGGCGTCACCACAGAACGTTCCGGAACAGCAGCCCGACACACCCACCTCTCCTTCAGGCGTAGCTCATCATTCATTTTCGTCAGCTGTGACGAGTTGTCCCCGGACATTTTCATGATGTCCGCGATGTCGTTTTCCAACTTGGCCTTTGCCTTCGTCAACTGCTCTTCTCGCACATCTCTCTCTTTGAATTTGGCCTCCAAATCTGAGGGGAGGGGAGGAGAGGAGTGGGGGGGAGGGAGGGAGAGAGGAAGGGAGGGAGAGAGACAGAGGGAGAGAGAAAGACAGGGAGAGATGCAGGGAGGGTGGTGGGGGAGAGCAGCGTTGGGGTGTCGTAAGCAACTAAGCGTTCCCTGCGCTTCTGTCCCAGGCCTCCCTCCGAGGACGTTTCACTCTCTGGCCCCGTGAAAACTGCTCGAACCAAGCGGCAGCCAGTGAAACCAAGGACAACTCACAAGACGGGGAAGAAATGCAGGCAGCGAGCAAAGGATGGGGCCAGGGTGGGGGACAACCGTAAAAGGCGCCTCACAGACGGCCCTCAGCGGGGACCTTGGGCAGCATTTGACAAACGTCTCCGGGCCAAGGTGGCAGGAGTGTCACAGGGCCCTAGGAACTGATGGGGGGGGCGGGCAGGAGGGGGACTGGGACCTGCTGTGAGGGCTCACTGACGGAGGCTGGGAGGCTGAGGAGGGGGGGCGGGAGCGTCAGCAGGGAGGTGCCTCACGCCAGGGGTGCCCCTGCACGACACCTGGAGACCATCTCTTACCCGTTAAATTTCCTCGCAACTTCTCCAGTTCAGAAGACAGCGCCTTAATCTGTTCTTCTTTTTCATGTAAGTTATCAACAGTTTCTAGTTAGGATAAAGTTAGAAGTTTAATATATTTCACGCACCATCGGGATTATTTGAGAGTCTGTCTGGCAGGCTCCATCAAATCTCACGCTGGAGTCTGTAGTCACGGGGGGAATAAAGCGTCTCTATGGGAGAAGCCCCCGGCCGAGGGCAACACCAGGAGGTTTGGGTACGGAAACGGCAGGTCTGGCGCCAGGAGGAACTCGCGGCCTTGGCTGGGGGCATCACAAAATCTTCCCACCCAGCCAGCAACCTGCCAGGTCACACAGCACTTTCCCAAGCACTCCTGCATGTCACCACAAACAGTAATGTAAGGGATATGATGCCACCAGCAGGTCCACCTGCACCTGCGGGGGGAGTGCATCAGCAATCTGATGGTGCCTGCAGACTTCCAGATACCCCAAAATTGCTGCTGTGCCTTTGGTCAGACCCCAACAACTTGGGGCAAGAAATTAAACGGTCAAAAGTTCAGTATGTGGGAGACACACCCACAAATGACCTCCAGCTCAGTTATATAAGCTCATTTATTGGCCTTATTTCAGAGACCCTTAAATCTCAAAAGAGATCAAAAGATGCAGTTAGGGTCAGTGGCCCGGAGATAAACGGGAACCCATGACTGAGAGTTCCAGGCTTGCTCGGATCAGGACTGGGTCTCCTCCCCGGAGGGTCCCAGTTTTCCAGTAGCCTGACAGTCACACCTACAAACTGCCCCCAAGCACCATGTAATCTCATCAATGGCCAAGACCCAGAGACTATACAGTACAACTCCCAGAAGAGAATGACACAGATCTTCCTGGTCATTATATTCTAGCCATAAGAAGCAATACGAAACAAATCATCTAGCATTGCCTTTTCAGCAGGTTTGAGTGCTGGTGGGACTGGTGTCAAAATATCGAATGTAAACAAAGTAGAGAGAGAGTATGGGGGAAATTGTGTGCCTGCCACACAGGCAGGGGAAGGCTTGGCAGAGGCGTGGGGCTGGTGGAATACTGGGGATTTTGGTGGTGGAAAATGTGCACTGGGGAAGGGACGGATGTTTGATGATTGTATGACTAAAGCTCAAACCTGAAAGCTTTGTAACTGTATCTCACAGTGAATAAAAAAATGGAGGGAAACATAATAAAATAATAAAATAAAATTAACATTCAGAAGAAAATTAAAAAAAAAGTAATGCGGAATTCATGCCCAATTCAATCAGGCTAATCAATGGCTGAATAAATAGTAATACTCCTACATTATTAACAAAAAAAATTAAAAAAAAAAAAAACAATGTGTATGTGTGGGATATGTGTGTGTGTGTGTGTGTGTGTGTGTGTATGTGTGTGTGTGTGCTATGCCCAGGGTACCTCCTGGCTCTACACTCAGGTATCAGCCTGCTGGTATCAGGGATGGATACCAGCTTGGCAGTGTGCAAGGCAAGTGCCTGACCTGCTCGGGTCCCTGGGAATAATCTTTAAGTCAAAGAGGAAAGAGCCGGAGGAAGTCAGCTGCGGGAAATGAGCGGGCCAAGCCCTGAGTGTGGCCCCCAAGAGCCCCAGCCCCGGCACAGCCACCCGGCAGCCCTCACCCACCTTGCATGTTTTTCTGAACAGAGGCCGCCTCTTCTGAAGCCTCTGCGAACTTTTCTTTCTAGAGAAAAAGAATCAGATATTCAGACCAGGAGGGTGCAAAGTAGCTTCCAATCAACGACATGGGAGACACTCCATTTTGTGATGCTGTTCATGAAAATGAACTTGCACTTAAAACGTAGATATTGGGGGCTGAAGGGCTGGAACAGGGTCCAGGCGCCTGAGTGCAGCCAGCCGGTTAGACCCTGAGCCAGGAGTACCACCGAGTTAGGGAGGAGCCCCAATAAACACGGTGATCATCTGGGGGCTGGGAGAGAGCACTGGGTAAGTCCACTTGGCCCCGGTCTGAATCCCGGCACTAACAGGAATATCCTGAGCACAAAGCCAGGAGTCGCCTCCAAGGACTGACAGGCATGGCCCTAGTCCCCCACCACCACCACCACCAAAATATATATCTCCTAGGGTCAGAGCGATAGACCAGAGGGGAGGATGTTTGTTTTGCACAAGGCTGAGCAGTGTTTGATCCCCAGCATCCCATAGGGGATGCACCGTCAGTAGTAATTCCTGAGTGCAGAGCCAGGAGTGACCCCTGAATGTCCCCAGCTGTGACCCAAAAAGACAAAAAACAACAAGAACAACAACAAGAACAAAAAAACCCAAAAAACAAAAATAATCCACCCCAAACTCAGTTATCAATGCCCAGTGTGTACCTGCCTGGCAAACATGAGTGAGCTGTGCAAGTATGTATGTACTTGCTTGCATATTCTAGTACATGTATGAGTCTGCACATGCAAAGAAGCCCATGTGTGAATACTGGGGTGTGTGCATGGCTGTGGACACGCGTGTGTACACATGTTCTCGAGCACACACAGATAGACTGTGATGCTGTGTGTGCTTGGCCCATGCTGCTCCAGCAAGGACGCTTCCCTTGGAAACCTTCAGCAGGTTCTGAATGGCTCCTAAGAGCTCAGTCACGGGACCTGACAGGATCCCGTCAGCACTGTCTCAACAGAAAGGCCCGGCTTACCCGGGCCCAGGGCCGGAGTGACGGGACAGTGGGGAGGGCATTTGCCTTGCAAATGGCTGACCCAGGTGCGATCCCCGGAATCTGGAATCCCATGTGGTCCCCCAATCTTTGCCAGGAGTAATTCCTGAGTGCAGAGCCAGGAGTAACCTCTGAACATCACCAGGTGTGACCCAAAAAGCAAAAAAAAAAAAAAAAAAAAACCCAACCAGATACTTTAGGTGTTTTGCTTTGTATGTGTCCAACCCAGGTTCAATTCCCAGCATTCCATGTGGTCCCCTGAGGGCCACCAGGAATGATCCCTGAGCACAGAGCCAGGGGAAGGTCTCAGCACAGCTGAATACAAAAATACCCAAGACACAAACAAAGAAACATACACACACACACACAAAAAAAAAAAATCCTAAAAAGAAAACAAGAAAACACACTTTGATCCAGTGCAGGAAGGTGTCTGGAAGGTTCCAGAAAAGTGGCCTTCCGGGCGCATGTCTCTCACCCCCCCTCCCCTTGCTGTGAGCGCCCAGTGCTCCCAGCTGGCAGGGGAGACAGAGCCTAGGGGGCAGGGGGTGCTTCTGAGGGGAGGAAGGAGCCCGGCACTCCGGGAGCATGGCTGGCCAGTCACTGATCAGGCAGAGGCAGAGGGCATAGCAGGGACAGAGCAGCGCACCTACCTTTGCTGCCCCAACAGGGGCTCGCGCAGCCCCTGGGGTTTCCAGCTGACACGCTCGTGAGCCTCAGAGGCGACAGGGCCGAGCTCGCCTGAGGAGGCTTCGCTTTACCCTCAGCAAGGTAAAGATCAGCGTCCGACTCCCCTGGTACTCACCAAACTCCGAAGCTCTTTCTCCAAAGCCTCCTTCACTCGGCCGGCTTCGTTCAAGTTCTCCTGAAGGCTACTAAGTGCTAGCCCCTTCCCCTGCAGCTCCTCGGCCAGGCTATCGGCCTACCAGAGTGACAAGGATGGAGTGAATGGACCAAGGAGATGAACAGGAACGGGAAGGGGAAAACAAAACAGAAAACATGTATGAGAAGCCCATGACCCAACACAACCCCGAAGAACAGAGGCGTGAGGTGAGCGTGACTGCTTGAAGCTCGCGAAGCCAAGGCCTTGGTGCCGTCAGTTCTGGTGATGACTGTCTAGTGGTTATTGAAAAAGGCCAAACAGAGGCGTTTTCTAGACCTAAATTTGGAGTGACCAGAAAATAAGAAAGCCTATGAGAAAGACTGACTTTCCAGGGGCGCGGAGACGGCACAAAGGGCTGGAATATACACCAGGCCCGAGGTTGAACTGCAGCACCACTGGGCGAGACTGAGATCGGTCCACAAGCGAAAAGACCCACTACTGCTGGGCGGGAGGACCCCAGAGCCGAGAGCATGGCTTGGCGAGGAAGAAGGACATAAGCAAGGGAGGAGGGAGGCTAAGGATAGGAAGGAGGGAGGGAGGAAACAGGGAAGAAAGGGAAAGGGAGGGGAGGGAGAGAAGAAAAGTTTATCTTATTTTTTTTTTACTTTTGGCTTTTGCTCGAGGCCCTCCCATTGATCGTCGATTTGCTCGAGTGGGCCCAGTAACATCTCCATTGGAGACTTTGTTGTTACTGTGTTTGGCATATCGAATACTCTCGGTAGCTTGCCGGGCTCTCCGAGAGGGGCTGAGGAATCGAACTCGGGTCGGCCATGTTGGCCGCTTGTAAGGCGAACGCCCTACTACTGTGCTATCACTCCGCTGGAGCTGCTATCGCGGCCAACATGGCCGACCCGAGTTCGATTCCTCCGCCCCTCTCGGAGAGCCCGGCAAGCTACCGAGAGTATTCGATATGCCAAACACAGTAACAACAAAGTCTCCAATGGAGACGTTACTGGGCCCGCTCGAGCAAATCGACGATCAACGGGAGGGCCTTTGGCTTTTAAGGTCACCCTAAATGCTCAGGAATTTCTCCTTGGCAGTGAGCCGGCAAGCTTACTGAGAGTATCTTGCCCGCACGGCAAAGCCTGGCAAGCTCCCCGTGACGTATTCGATATGCCAAACACAGTAACAAGTGTCACAATGGAGACGTACCTGGGCCCGCTCGAGCAAATCGATGAACAACGAGAGGACAGTGACAGTGAGAGTGACCCTATGGGATGCTGGAGATCAAACCCATGTGGGCCACATGCAAGGCAAAGGCCCTTCCCACTGTACTATCACTCCGGCCCTCAAGATTTACTTTCTTGTAGTTTCTTGTCTGTGACTTTAAAAGTTTGAGGGGTTTCAATATGAAATTTAAAATGAAGAACCTCTAATCCACTAGACAGCAGTCACCAGAACTTGACGTTTGTTACATCTTGATGTGAACAAGTGGGTCAACTATCCCCTGCTGTGTCCTAGGAATTGATTCCGTTTGTTTCAGCTGGTGTTTCTGGAATGCCAGCTAAGGAGTCCTGAGTCCTGAGAGGAACTCCCGCGGGTCTCTGGGTCCTTCTGTTATGTCTGTCAGTCCTGTCTACAAATCCCACAGCCCTTCCATCTTGGCCAACAGAGAAGTTTCTCCAACAAAGCGCCCAGCGCCGGGGAGCTGGGAGGGCGCGTCCCTGCCACCACAATCCTATAGGAGGAAAAGGGCATTTCTCGGGGCTCCTTGGTGAGAACTGCAGCTTCCTCGGCTTGGCCCAGATCTCACTGTCTTGTCCTTCCCCAGGATCAGGGCTACCATGAGAGTCCATGCCCGTGGCCAACAGGGGGCCATGCTGGAAGGTGCATGCACCTAAGCACCCCTTAGAGGCTGAAAGGGATGAAATCTCTGCAGGGCTGGGGGGTGGCGGGGGCTTGTGCTGCAGGCTGACACACAGGGAGGGGCCGGCAATGAGAAATACCAAGATGGGCCACGTCACCAGCCCTGAGGGAGCTCAGAGGCTCAGAGGCATCGAGCACCAGCTGGAAACTGAGGCACCTCCGGGATAGGAGGGAAAAGCCAGTCACATGAGCAAGGTCAGGGAAAGACCCTCGCGGCCAGACTTAAGCCCAAGGGTCTGGGCAGACTTGGCGTGTACGCAGGGGGCCCAAGGAGCGGGGGGGGAGGGGGGGCAGAGGTTTGCTCTGAGGGCTCCTATCTTGTTTTCTCACTGGCCTCGTGAAGAGTTCTCTGTTTCAGAAAGACCCCAGATGGGCCTGATTGGCCGGGGCCAAGGCTAGCACGGCATCCGGGTGCTGGGGACCAGTGACAGCCCCAGAATCGTGCCGACACGTTCTCAGTCCCATCAGAGGGAACGGCACGGGACATGACCAGGAGACCTGTCAGCACCAAGATGGTACACGGCAGTGAAGCAGACAGACACACAGCATGCAGGGAGCGAGCGTGGAAGTGAGCGAGGGCGCCCGGGTACCAACCTTGCCACTCTCGGCCCGCTTTGCATTCTCTAACTCCTGAATCTGCTGCTCAGCCACCTGGAGCTGCTGCCTGAGCTTCTCCATTTCCAATTTACCTTCGGAACTGGCCTTCCGGAGCCCATCGAGCTGCAAGAGCTTCTCCTGGGTGGCCTCCAGCTGCGCCGTGGCGTCGGCCAGGGCTTGGGCTTGCTGACTACACATGGCCCGCAACCCCTCCAGGTCCTTTACCTTCGTCTCCGCCTCCTGCAGCTTGTTCAGGGCATCCTCCATCTCCACCAGGTGCTGGTCCTCGGTCTGGTCGAGCTTGGCGCGCGCGGCCTCCAGGCTGTTCTCCTGCTCCTGGGCCGTCCTTACCAGCCGCGACCTGAGCGCCTGCAGTTCGGAGGCGTGTGCCGCACGCTCGGCCGCCCGCTGGGCCTTCAGGGTCTCCACCTCCTGCTGGTACTCGAACTGCAGCCTCTCGATCTGCATCTTGAGCTCGGCCAGCTCGGCCGCCTCGGAGCCCACGCCCCGGCTCACGGACGCCTTCAGCTCGCCCATGGCCTGTTGGTGCGAGGCGATGGCCGTCTCCAGCTTGGACTTCCACAGGGCGATCACGTCCGCGTTCTCCTTGTTGGCATGATCCAGCTTGGTCCTCAGCGACTCGTTCTCCTTGGCGAGTTTCTCGGAGGCCACCTGCAGGGCCTTCGCCTCCTTCTGGTAGGCATCGTCCCGGGCCCCAAAGTGCTCCTTGAGGCTGGCGACTTCCCTCTGGCGGTCTGTGTGGGCAGCGTCCAGCTTCTCCTGCAGCGCGCTGATCTCCTGCAGCAGGGACAGCGACGCATCTGCCTCCCCGGCTGGCTTGATGGCCTCCAGCCTCCGTCGCAGCTCGGCCACCTCTTGCGCCCGCAGGGACAGGTCCCTCTCCAGCTCCATGATCCGGGACTTCTCCGACACGGTGGCCACCTAGGAGTGTTCAGAGAGAGACAGGCCGCATCAACGACCAGCGGGGGGCTGGCCCGCTCGTGGCCAGCGAGGAGCGGACAGGAACCCGGGAGGTCTCGTCAGAGCCGGCCACCTGGGCCCAGCAGGAGCTAACAGGGCCCGAGGCCTCACCAACCCCGATTCGCTGCTTCTCCCTCTCGGCCAGGGCCGCCCCCTCAAATTGGTGACACTTCAGTAACTCCAGCAGGACCTGCTGTGGTTCTGGGCCGCGCCAGCACCTCCTGCCCCGTCTGTCTCAGGCAGGAGCCACGGCACTTGGTCTCGCTGGCGGGAATGAGTCACAGCCCCGTGCTGATGGCCCTGGCAGCCGGGAAGCCAGCAGGCCACCGAGGCTGGAAACGGGGAGCCCAAAGGGACAGGGGCAGGAAGCACCAAGCCTGCTCACGTGCGGAAGACTCAGGGAGGGGAACAAAAGCACCTAAAAGACGCTGTCAACAGTGTGCAGACGGTGTCGGGGCAAAACTGACCCTTACCCAGGCGGACTGAAAGAAAACTGATGAAATTTCCCCGGCGCTCTTGACTTATGAGGTTGTGTTCATGCGGGTGCTTGAGCATTGGGGGTGGGGAAGTGCCTGGTGTGGTTCCTGGGTACACTGGCGTGGGGCACGAGCACCTGGCAGAGGCCCTTAAACAGTATGCCAGCTGCAGAGCTGCTCAGCTGATAAATGAAAAACTAAATCACATTTTTTAAGGACAAAGAAAAAAATCGATTTCTTACCTGCGACTGATAGGCAAGAATCTGAAGAGGCTCCCCGCTCACCTGAGCAAGGCCCGGGCAGCACCAAGGTGGGGCTAGACCTGGCTCCCCCTGAACTCGGTGGGGCTGGCTCTCGGCCCCCCTGGGGCCTCATGACACGGCCCAGGCCAAACTCTCCCCAGCCCTTTCCTCTCCTTCTACCCCAGGTTCGGCAGGACAGCGGACAGGAAGTGTGCGGCCAGTCAACTGCCCGGCCTGGACAATGGAGGGGAGCATGGCTGACCCCAGTCCATGGGCACCAGTCTCGAACCCTCCACACCAGCCCCTGCTGGGGCAGACAGCAGCGCCCACAGCCCGGGGCACCCGGGCCCCACGCATGGTGTGACCAAGCCATGGGACTTCTCAGTGCCGGTGGTCCACAGCAGTCGCTGGCCTCGCTTCACTTGGGGACGTTGATTCTTTTGGACCCCCCACCCCACCCCAGCACTGGCAGTGCCAGAAACCAAATACAGGGAACCAAGAATAAAGGCCCAGGCGGCAGGCTCTGGCTCTCCTGGAGGAACCAGGACACAGCCAGGCCTTTCCCTCCCCAACACCCCGGGACACCTCAAGTCTCGGGGCCAACTGAGAACATCTCTCTTCTCAAGATGAAGTCACAATTTCGACAAGAAAAATACATGCTCCCGATTTCGCGATCAATGCCGAGAGAAGTTTCTGCCAACACGAGCCATTCAAAACACCACCACCAGGCTGCCCTGCTGGGCCAGAGGGGAAACCTCGGGAAGTTCCCAAGGGTCGATGGGGCTACAGGCGGCCTGGGCCCCTCACGTCTGAGCCGTTCCCTGAGGCTCCAGCGCCAGCCTCCCCGGGACGATTCTGGGAAGATGCAGGGCCGAGGGCCCGCTTGCTCCAGCATCACTGCTGGCTGTGTGACCTGAGCAAGGTACCTAACCTCTGTGTGCCTTGTCTCGATGGCCCAAGGGGAGCCTCTCGCTGAGACTCAGAGTCCGGGGCAGGGGTGGGAGGGGACAGATAAACAATGGCGCAGAGCAGAGCCGGACACACAGTGAGCTCAAGCAGGGGCCCGGGCACAGGGACGAGGGGCTTGGCGCAGGGGCGCATGACTGGGCAGGGAGAAGGCCCTCTTGCCACCTCGCATCCCTTCCCGGCCAGGGGCAACTCAGTGACAGGGTCGGGGGCCACAGTGACAGGAAGCAGGGAGAGGCAGAGAGACGAGGAAGCAAGAAAAAAAGGGAGGAGGGTCCTGGTGCTTCGCTCACGCCCACCCCGAGTCAGCGTGGGGCGGCCTGGTGGCTTTGGCAAATGGGCAGGGCACACGCGGCCCGTGGGAACCAAGTTTGGTACCAGCACCGCTGGGTGTCCCGCACACTGGCTGGGAGCAAGCCCTGGGTACTCCCAGCTGTGGCCCCAAACGCATATCTCCTCACCCCAAAATAAAGCAAAGGCTCTGGGGCTCCCGCTCCCCTCCCGGTACATGGGCCAGGGAGTGGGACAAGGAGCCACAGAACCACCTGGAAAAGCCCAGGGAGTGGGAAGAGAACCAGAGGACAACGGACTGTGCATGTGTGCATGTGTGCACATGCCTAGGTGTGTGTGTCGCATGTATCCATGCGTGTGCAGGTGTGTGGGGAGAAACATGGTCCAGGGGCACACCTGGGGCCTCCGTGCGCTGCTTCTGCCCCCTGGACCTGCCCGTGCGGGCGTCTGGCCTGGACTCTGCATGAGTCGCCAGAGCAACGGGGCTTTCCCCACGGAAAAGGACGTGCCCTGCGCCCCGTGTGCCACTGTGAACTGGGGCCTGAGCTCTCGGCCACCCCAACAGGACCAAGACCAGACTCGGGCTGAGCCCCTGGCACGTGGAAAAAGTGAAAGCCATTACCCTAGTGTCTTCTAACTCCCTCTGGAGTTTGTCAGCTTTGGTCTTTTCAAAGAGCAGGCTCTGTTCAAGCTCCTTAATGCGGGCATGTTCCAGTCTCGTCTGCGTCTGTTAGTAAAGAGGAAAGGAAAGAGCACACAGGCGGCCTGAGGAGCCGGCACACGCGGACAGCCGGGCGAGAGGGAGGCGGGCAGTAGGCGGGAGCAGACACACAAGGCAAGATGGAGGTCAGAGGCATGCGGCCACACACGGGGTCGGTGAAGGTCACGGCACAGACGAGACTCCTGCCCCGCCCACCCGCGTCCCACCCACAGCAGCAACCAGTCGCATCACAGTGGGCAAATGACTCAGTGACTTAGGCAAGAAAATCAGGTCACCCGTCCCAAGGCTGCCTGTGTCCATTGCACACCCCCTATGTGGGGTCGAGCTGCACCCCGTAAGGGACCGGGAAGCATCAGCCCCACAGAGCCGGGCAGGAGGCGGTGAGGCAGGGTCCTGAGGACGGTGAGGAGCACGGAGAGAGCAGTTCTCCGAGTCCGCGTCCACCAGGGCAGCGAAGGTGGGGAGCTTTGGCGGAGCCAACCCGGCAAGCGCTATGCAGGCAGCGCTGACTTCCAATCTCGGCAGGGGCTGGGCCGGGCCGCTATGGGGACTCTAAACAGGATCTGAGCTTCCCTGACGGATTCCGGCCTCCCAACTCCACCAGCCCGCGGCCCAGAGCCTCTTCCTGATGAGACTAGGGGCAGTGGAACCAGGATCAGCCCAAAGGCTCTGCCCTGCCTGCCTTCTGCCCGGGCTCAGTGGCACCGTCAGCGGGTCAGGTGTACCCAGCTGGTCACGTGGGGTCTCTGGAGGGCTCTGGGTGTACTGTGATCAGGTGAGCCATTCTGGGCAGCCCAGGGCGGAAACCGGGATGGCCAGGTCAAAGTAGCAGGCAGGCCCGGAGTGGCTGTCTCATGAGATAAACACCTTCGCCCAGATGCTACCATTTCAACACTCCCAAGAGGTCTCTCTGCTTGTGAAACCCTCAGAAGCCACTGCGGAATATTTAAAAGGTAATAAAAATGCTTTTAAACCCCTTCCCCTGGGGCGGGAGCCAGATAGTGCAGTGGGCAGGGCGTCTGTCTTGAAAACAGCTCGTCAGCACCACGAATTCTAGGAGTGATCCCTGAGCACAGAGCCATGAGTCAGCCCTAAGTCCTGCCAGTTATGGCCTACCACACCCGACCCCACAAACACACCGCCCACCAAAAGAAATTTCTTCACCTGTCTGAGGTTTTTTAAACTCACAAAATTAATGAAAAAAAGTCAAAACCTGATTGGATGTTCCTTGCTTCAGATGTACTTCAGGTCTGAGTTTCCTGCTCACACAGGAAAATCCACTCCAGACCAGCATGCTCACGGGACTCGGCCGTGCAAGTAAAACCCCAGACAGGAGAAGGCAAAAGTCACCAACAGGAGCTCTCTCCTCGTCCATGACCCCTGACCCCCAGGTGCCGTGGCGAGGGGCCGCTGGCTCCAGAGCAAAGGCAGAGTCACGGCAAGCGCCCCTGGAGGGGCCGTGCCTGAACGCCGTCAGCCTGATGCTCAGCCAGGAGCGAAACTAAATCACGGTGCCTTCATTAAAAATAAATATATAACTGGGGGGGGGGGCAGGGAATGTGCCCTGCAGGGTCTGAGCTAGTGCCTGCCGCCCTGTCAGCCCCCACCCTACCTGCCAAAGCTCTGGACTGCAAATCATCACCGCTTCCGGCCAGGACTGACCAGGACAGCCCCATTCAAGCCGGTTCCTCCCTGCTCCAGGCCCAGGGAGAGTGCTGGTGGGCAGGGCAGTGATGGCCCTCAGGAAACAGGCTTTGTAAAGGTGTCATGATGGCCGTTTCAACTGTACTTCCACTTACAAGCAAGCAGCCTTTTTTTGTAAGATTTGGCTGTTTGATCTTACTTGGGAGGGAGGAGACAAAGAAAAACAACTCCAATGCCTAAAAAGTCCCAATTGGGTGGTAACGGCCTTAAACACTGCATCTCCCTGAAGACCATGAGCCAGCCAGGGGCTACCCAAGAGCCTACGCCAGCGCCGTGCCGGCCAGCAGGGGGCGATGCCTCTGCTGCTTCCCAGGAACACCCCCCCCCCTCCCCCCCCCCCCGCCAGGCTGGAAGCATCTCACATGGGATGCTTGGGTCACCAACATCTGGCTAAGAAGCCCCTGAGAATCAGGAGACGCCAGGAATTAATCGAAGGTCAGGGTCCCCCCCCCCCCCGCCTTTACTTTTGTTCTTGGCAAATTCCTTGAGAAACCCTGGCCTCTGCACTCAGCAAGCGGACATAAAGGGTTTTAGTCAACACAAACAATTTCTCTAGGACCCGAAAGCCACATGCATAGAAACGTGGGCCTCTGGGCGTTGCTGCCATTAGTATCTCAGTGTGCTAGCGAGCACGGCACCGGGAGCCGCCTGTGTTAGCAAGTGAGAACCACACAGCACGTGCCCTCTTACACTCTCGCCATCTGCAGAGATCTGACTCTTGGGCTATCAGTAAAAAGAAAAAAATTAAAAATTAAACAGCTGCAAGAGAAACACACCTACCGTGGGTGAGTCTTTACCCTCTGCACTCACCCAATACATGAAAGGCTCCAAAATAATCTATAAATTTCAGAGAAGTCTCCTGGACAGCCTCTACTGGGCCAGAACTGCGGTCAATGGTTTCACTGTTCCCTCCCCAGAACCTAACAGGCCACATTACACATGAATTAGGTGATGACATGGAACGACTAATGAGACTCAGGGTGCTTTTAAATTAATGAGAACGACATGACAAACCAACTAAAGTAAAGTGACTATGTGAAATGAGAGAGAGAGACATCTGATAAATTATTAATAATCCATTAAATTCTGGGTCTCATAAAACTAAAACCCAGAAAATGCTTCCCTTACTTTTGTTATTACATTGATTTCCAAAGAAATCACAGTTCCAATTTGAAATTGAAGCCTGGTACAGGCAGACCCTGAAACTGTAATGGCAGCAAAATTCTATGCTCGGAGGACCGTGCAAACGAGTGCAATTTCTACTAAGACACTAGATCAAGGAACCAAAAATATGCAAGAATGGGAAAATTTAGTAACTCACATTTGTTGTATATCTAGCAGTGGCTTCAAAAGCATTGCCCTGTAGCACTGTCCTCCTGTTGTTCATCGATTTGCTCGAGCGGGCACCAGTAATGTCTCCATTGGGAGACTTGTTACTGTTTTTGGCATATTGAATATGCCACGGGGAGCTTGCCAGGCTCTGGCATTCAATTAAAAAAAGCCAAAGATGTTGTTCAATTTAAAAAAAAAATGTGAGTTGGGACCGGAACATTAGCACAGCAAGTAGGGTGCTTGCCCTGAATGGAGCCAAACCAGATTTGACCCACAGAATCAAATATGGTGCTCCAAGCCACGCCAGGGTTAAGCCCCGAGGAATGCCAGGCAGCCCCCCACATGTACTGCCAAATAAAATGTGAATACTGCCACTGGAGGGAAAACAAAATTTCCATGAACTTAAAACAGGAAGGAAAAGAAGCAGAAATAGAAATCATTCTTTTGCAAACTGTTTGCTTCTTCTTGTTTTAAGGAATACCTTCAAAAAACTGGGGTTCTAAAGGATTTGATTTGTGCTGCTCGACTGAAAACCAAAGCTGAGGCAAAGGCGTAGACCCGACTGTCAGAACGAGACAAAAACGCTCAGCAACAGCAGCCTCCAACCCCAAGGAGCAGAGATGTGTCAGCCGGGCCCTGCCAGGTGCATAACCCCAGGTATCCCTGTCTGATTCTGAGTCTCCAGCAGAAGTGGCCCTGCCGGTGTCGGCCAGTCCACCCCGCATTCTTGCTTGCACCCTGCAAGCCTCCGGGACCTGCATGGGCTTTACCTCCAGGTCACCTTTGGTGATGGACTCCTCCTCGACTCGGAACTGGAGGTCCTCCACTTTCCTGTGGGGGAGAGGGAGAGTTGTGAGGGGCATCATTGCTGCCCCCATGAAGGCCACTATCCTGTAGATGCGCCTGACCCAGCCCCCCGGGTGTACACACAGGGGATTTGAGAGAGTCGGCGAGGGCCAGAGCGAGAGTACAGCGGGCAGGGCATTTGCCTTGCACGTGGCCAACCCGGGTTTAATTCCCAGCATCCCATTATGGTCCCCCGAGCAATGCCAGGAGTAATTCCTGAGTGTCGAGCCAGGAGTAAACCCTGAGCATCGCTGGGTGTGAGCCCAAAAAAAAGTCGGCAAGTCCCCTCGGCTTCGAGCACTGGGTGGGACCCGCAGGCTACAGGAGGAAGCTCTGCCGAGCCAACGCCAGGCGCAGTGTCCTATCAACCCTTTCTGCCTCGCAGCTAACAGAGGTGGTTAAAAACTGACCCGCAGCGCATGCCAGTCCCTCCCAGCCAACGCCTGTCCCCAAATCGGGACAACAACTGAGCACCTGGGGGAGAAGCAGCCAACGACTGGGGGAGGGGGGGCGTGGAGGGGCTCTCAGGGGATGTGGCGAGTTTGGCATGTGGAGCTGAGGGGCTGAGCCGGGCACTGGCAGTGCCCCTGGGCACCACACTGCCGGGAGCCCATCTGAGAAGGCGGTCTCTGCCGGCACCCCGTGTCCGTCTGTCTGCAGCCCGGCCTGAGCCCCGCGTCCATCTGCCTGCAGCCCTACCTGAGCCCCACGTACAGCTGTCTGCAGCCAGACCTGAGCCCTGCGTCCATCTGTCTGCAGCCTGGACTGAGCCCTGCCTGTCTGCTGCCGTGCCCCATGGGTGCTGCGGGTTTCCTCCCGCCTGGGACTTAACCCCAGGCACTCCCACAGGGCTCCGCTGGGATAGGACAGTTCCCTGCCACCCAGCACAGGCCTCCTGGACACCAGGACATATGGACACAGCAGGGAGGGCCGGGGGTGGCTGGGCTCCAGTGAGCTCCCCCCCATCCGCGCCAGTGAGTCCATGCTCAGGACGGAGCACCCGGCGGTGCCTGGTTCTCACAGCCCTGGAAGGCCAGGCGCGCCCCACCCCAGGCAGCCCCCCCAGCTCCGGGCACGGCCTCACCTCTTCTCCTCCTCCAGCTGGTTCAGCAGCTCCACCTTCTCCCGGTCTGCCGCTTCCACCATGGCCCGCAGCTGGTCCATCTTGGCCTCCAGCTCCAGGACGTGCTGTGGAGGCAACAGCGCGTGAGTGGTCTCGCCCGCCCCGACAGCTCTCTGTGGGCTGGCACCGCCACCTGCCACCGCGGCACGCTGAACGCATCTCCCACCTAAGCTGCAGCGTTTCTGGAAGGCCAGGGGGGAACCACACCACAAAAGCACCGGCAGGGAGAACTCGGCGCTCCCTGAACCCCCACGGGGCGAGCAGAAGGCGCACGCGATCAAACCACGCGCCGGACGCCACCGCAACAACGGCAGACGGGGACCCACGGCCTCTTACTGAACCACCTGCACCAAGCTCGCGCCCAGCCTCTGCCACAGGCGTCTCTCGGCCCCGGCACTGCCGTCTGCACAGACGTCACCTGGTCGTGCCCGTCCCGGGCCAGGGCCAGCTCCTGCTCTATCTCCCCCACGTGGCTTGTGGCCTTGGCCACCTCCGCCCGCTCCAGGTCCCGCTCGGCCAGCAGCTGCTCAATGTGCTGCTGCTTCTCCTTCAGTGCCTCCTGGAGGGCGGTGGTGCCGGAGATCTTGCGGGCATAGCGGGAGGAGGTTTCCGTCAACTGCAAAGGAAAGAGAGACGTGAAGGGGGTGCGGGCGGCGGACACTGGCATGCACACGGCGATCCTTGGCAAAGCAGATGGAGCAGCGCTACATCCTTGCATACGGGCCAGCGATGCTCAGCAGAAGCGTCTTGAAACCTTCCCGAAGATTCTTGGATGAAACCTGGGCTCCACTGACCTCGGGCCTCGTGGGAATCCAGAGACTCTTCTGGAGAGCCGGAGGCAGCCCCCTCCACGGCCCTCTCTGGCCTGAGCTTCCTTAAGGCTGAGCCCTTGGCATGAGCTTGAGGCCGGCTCCAGCATCTTCAGCCTTGCAGGTCCGTCAGGGTCTCCCCAAAGCAGCCTGGCCCTTCTCTCTTCCTCTTCCTTCCAGCTCACCTCGCTCTCCCCAGCACCCGCCCCAAGCCTGAATAGCAGTAACTAGAGACTCCTGTCTGGAATGGCCCCGTGCCCCTAGGGTCACTGGGTGTGACCCCATAAAAGACCCCTCTGCCATCTGCCTTCAAAGTGGGGGATGAAAGGCTAGAATGATAAAGTTGCGGGGAAGGCGCTGGCCTTGCACGCCGCTGACCCGAGTTGGATCCCAGGTACCCACCACATAGGGTCCCGAGCCCACCAGGAGTGACTCCTGAGTGCAGAGCCCGGAGTAAGTCCTGAGCATTGCTAGGGTGTGGCCCAAAGTCCAGGGGTAAAAAGGAACAAGTGGTGGGTGAGAATGTGTGAGGGCTCACGCCCAGCGAGCAGGACAGCAAGGGCAGCTCAGGGGAAGACCAAGCACAAAGGGAAGGAGAGAAGAGGCAAAGACAGTGAGGAGGGGAGGGGAAGGGGCTGGAGGGCCACGGGGACCGGGGGTCCTGTCCATTTTCTCCTGGCCTCGTGGTCGCTCATGGTTGCTCTGCAGACCCAGTTTCCTTGTGGCACAACGGCCCCTGCAGGTGGGGACAAGGCAGGACCTGGTCTTCATTCTTTGAGCACACGGTGGTGGGGGCTGCGGCGGGGGTGGCCGAGGACGTCCGCTCCTTCTGCCCGGCCACCCCTGGCCCATCGCCCTCCTGCGATCCAGCCACAGGGTCTCTTGTCCCTTCCCCACATCATCTGAGCTTCTGCCAAACGCCTGCGGACCGACGGGCCCAGCAGGGCCCAGGCTGTTTACGGCTGCTTTGCCTGCTGGGAGCTCTTAGGCTACTTGGTTCTGTCCGGGGAGCGGGCTCATCCTTGCCTCTGCATAAGGACCTAGCCGTGATTTCCCGATACACTTAAAGTATATTTGGTCAGATTAAACGCTCTCCCCAGGTCCGAAGAGTTTGTTTTTCTTTTTGTTTTTTTTGGGGGGAAGGTGCTTGCAGAGGTTCAAGATCCAGCACCGTCAGGAGAGCCCCCCCCAGCAGAGAGCCAGGAATAAGCCCTAAGCACCCCCGGGTGTGGCCCCAAAACCAAATAATAAATAAATAAAATTTCTAGAAGCACACAAGCTCTCGGGCCCAGTCATGTGCAGTGATCCCGGGAGTTGCAGTCAACTCGAATTTCAAGGGGTGGCTGGGAAGAGCTTGGCAGACTTGGAGGTCTCGAACCAAGACCTGGGCTCAACACCCCTCCACCGGGAGCAGCCCACAAGCACCACGCCTGGAGTCCCTGAGCACTGCCAGGTGAGCCCCAAAACCAAAGAGCAAAAATAAAAACTAGGAAAGGCGGGCGGCGGTGTTCCCTGAGCCTCCTGGCCTGAGCGGGTGGGGCAGGCCGGATGCACGCACTTCCTGGGCCCGAGACAGCTCCCTGAGGAAACCAGCATGGGAGCGAAGGGCTTCTTTCAGCCAACCATGGGGACGAGACTGTGAGGTTCAGGCACCGGAGCAGGGAGAAAGCAGCACCCCTGGCATGGGGGAAGGCGGGCGCTGAGGGGCTGGGCAAGGTCGGGGCTACGAACTGAACTCAGGATGTTGATGCCAAAGCCTCTGCCCTGCGCATGGTGTGTGAGGCCCCAGGCTCCATCCCAGCAAGGACAGACCCTCTGTGGGAGCCTGGTACCTCAGAAGAGCAACTCAGCCAATAAGCGAACCGGGAGGCCTCCCACAGGGCACGCACGGACCTGTGTGCATGTATGTATGCATGCATGTATGTTCCTGTGGGCATGTCTACACACACCTGTGTGCATGTGAGCGTTGTGTTTATGCATGTACGTGCCTGTGTGTATATACCCATAAGCCTGTGTATATACGGTATGCACTACATGTATATCTATGAGTAGCTGTGTGTGTATGAACGCTTGTGTGTGCATGTATGGAATTATGTTGCCGAGGTATACTTCCATGAAGTCACACAGAATCATTCTATATTCCTGTCATATATGCTAACAGTGATGTGCAGTTTAGGAGTGAGCTCCACCCTGCATAAAGATATGCAAGGCAGGGGCCAAAGAGCTGGAGAGTGAAGCCCCAGCGCTGCCCAGGCTCAATCCCGGAGGCCCGCCAGGAATAATCCCGAGCACAGAGGCAGGAGAAAGCCCTGAGCTCTGCCAGGTGTAACCCCAAAACAGAACAAAACAAGACAGCGGAGGGAGGCTGGAGATATGGCTCAGGCATAGGGCTCTTGCTCGGAGGTGGGAGGCCACGGCTTGACCCCAGCACTGCAAACGGCCCCTTGAAGCACTGTAGGGTGTGGCCCACAGTCAAGCAGAAAAACAAAACTAAATTCCACAAATGGGCTGGCTCGCGAGGGAAGGAGAGGGGCTTCTGAGTCTGCTCCCCTCCTAAATGGTGAGGCGAGGGGAAGGAGGAGTTGAACGTGAGGATGGAGGCGGGGCAGCGGAACCTGGCGGTGGCTGAGCAAGACAGGACTGGCCCCCGGCTTGTGCCCATGGTGTGTGGCCTCCTGCCTCCCATTCCCATGTCATCTGTTTTGTATCTTCCGTTGTACACACACTCACTCCCTCCTCTTCCGCATCAAGAGTCAATGCACGGAGCAGAGGGGCCGGCAGGAAGCGCAGCCCCCAGCAGAGCCGGCCCCCCGGGACACCCTCTCCATTGTGGGCGTGTTTCCCTGTGGACGATATCTCAGGACACCCTTGCATATTCGGACACACTTTAGTGTTTATGACACAGATAGACGTGAGGGGAGAAGCCACGAGGCCCCAGCTTTGACCTGCGGCCCCCCAATGGACAGAAGTCGAGGCCCCTCTGCATGTTGACAGGGGTGCGGAGGGACAGGAGGGAGCAGGGAGAGACGGAGAGAGCAAACAAGCAACACGAAGCGCCAAGCGTTCCCCAGAGTCTCTGGGCCCTGCTCTGACCCTCAGACAACCCCTTCAGCTACCCCACTTCATCCCTAAGGCGGCCTGAGGCCGGAGACGAGCCCTGAACACCCAAGGAAAGGCCCATCCCTGCTCCTGTCACGGGTGGTGGCTGGGAAGCCACTCACCTGCCATCCGGAGCTGCTCAGCCCACCCGGTCCTGCTCTGCCTCTCTCCCCTGGGGCCGTGGGAGTCTGTGGGGGCCAGAGCACGGCGGGGGTGGGGGGGGCTGCTTACTAGTCCCGTGCGGCTGGGCCTGCTGCTCACGGATGAGGCCACGGAGCTCACGGAGCTGAGCGAGGAGGCCGACGGGCTGCGCTTCAGGCTGGCGGGGGTGGTGGCCATCACACGCCTCACGGCGGCCGCCTTGGCCTTGGCCGGCGTTGTGGAGGGGAAGCCGATTTTGGTGACTTTGTGAACGGGAGCAAACAAGCCATACTTGGGCTGACACTGGAAGTACCTGCGGACAATGAGGAGGGGAGGGACAAAAAACACCTTTGGCAAGAGAGACAGGCGCCGACCGAGGAGTCCACTGAGTCCCACAGTCTCACACCCCCACAAACTAACACGCTCCCACAGCCCCACACTCCCACACTCCCACTCACCCCAACAAACACACTCACACCCCAACCAACACTCCCACATTTCCACAGCTCCACACTCACACACACTCACTCCCCAACAAACATCATACCCTCACACAGCCCCACACTCACACACACTCTCACCCAACACACACTCACACCCCAACAAACACACACACCCCAACAAACACTCCCACACACTCACACCCCAACCAACACACACATCCCAACAAACACTCCCACACTCTCACAGTCCCACCCCAACAAACACACTCACACCCCAACCAACACTCCCACATTCCGACAGTCACAAACACGCACACCCCAACCAATACTTGCAAGCTCTCAAACCAACACTCAAACGCTCTCATTCCCCCGCAAACACGATCACACCCCCACCAACACTCTCACAGCCGCACACTCACGCTCACATACACACACCCTCATACATACATATCCACACTCCGATGCACACTCATACATTCACACCCACACTCCCTCGCATGCCCCCCACCCCCACCGTGCAAACCCAAGGGTGATTCCAATCAGCCTCCCCGGCATCTGAAGGGCCACAGCAGGCCTGGGGGGTGCCTGGGGGCCGAGCACAGCTGCAGGTGGGAGCCCCAGGCTCTCCCCACATCCCTGCAGTCTCCGAGTGCCAGAGGAAGTGGCCCCCCTAAGAACCGAGTGAAGTGGCCTGCAGTCCCCTCAGCACCTCCCGGGCACCGTGCATTGCCCCAGGCTGTCGGGGGGGGGGCAGGAGGACCCACCTCGTTCCGGCCACAGCACCATCATTCTTGCCCAGCGGCTCATCCAGCTCCACGCCACACCATTCCCCCTTGGCGAAGTCCGTCTCCCCCAGGAAGCGCACCACGCCGGCCTTCGTGCCTCCCACCTGCCGGAGGGATGCGGGTCAGGTACCCAAGACCACGCACAGCGCCCCCACCCCCGCGAAGGAACGTTTTGGCTTCAGAGTAGGGATTTCCTTAAGAAACCCCAAAGGTCAAGGTGACATTTCCCCCCGAAACCCCTACAGGGTGAGCAGACGCTGCTGCTCAGTGTCCATGCAAGGCAGCGGCGTTCACACCCACTCGCTGTCACCAGTGGCCTGGCTGACCACATCCCCGGGAATCTCTGACCCAGGTCAGTCACCTGGTGTGGCAAGGGGGTCTCTGCCCCGCGGGTGTGGGAGCGGAGCAGTGGTAACCCCACCGCTGGAGAACAATTAAGCCTGGAACCAGCTAAAGGAAAATGACTGTTCTCATATCTTAGCAGAGTTCAATTTTCCAGTTCTCCTTCACTATGCCTTGGCTTGAACGCTTGGCCCCTGGGACGCAGAGCAAAACAGAATCACAGCGCTGGACACTGACGGGAATGCTGACAAACAGGGCTGGAGCACCACGGGAAAGGCACTTGCTTTGTGTGAGGCAACCGTGGGTTCAATCCTCAGCACCCAATAGAGTCCCCCTAGCCCACCAAGAGTGATTCGTGAGTGCAAAGCCTGAGTGACCCACAAGCACTGCCAGGAGTGGCCCCAAAACCAAAAAGCTGAATCAGAAAGGGGAGAGAAAGAGGGAGAGACCTCAACAAATAATTCCAGAGAGCACAGTGTTCTTTCTTGGGGACTCGGGTGGGACTGGGTTCACGTGCTCGGGGGTCACTCGCAACACGAGGGGAAGCACCGTCACCCACGACTGTCTCTGCAGCCTGAGGGAGCGAGTCCTTTAGTGCCATCTGCAAAGGCCCTGGCACAGCCTCCGTGGCCAGGCATGAGCCCTGGGCACTGTGAGTGTGACAAAGAATAAAAGAACAAGAGACAGGTGGCTGGGGTGGCGGCCCTGGGGTGAGAAGAGGCTGCAAAGTTCCTGTCGCACAGCTGGTCATCGGCGAAGAATTTGGCACAGAACATGCCGTCCCCGACCCGGAAACAGCCTCCTGGAACAGCACAGCTGGAAGCCAGTCAATTCTCTCAAGACCCTGACATCATATCCTGGAAATATCATCTGCCCAAAACTGCTGCAAGCCTGTCTCCAGAACATTCTGTCAGAGCTCTGCTGGAGAGAAGGGAAGTGATCTCCCAAGGTCAGGAGAACCACCACACATCAGCCCGGAGAAGCTCTTCACTCTTGGACTCTGAGACACCACAGGGCGGACAGAGTGACTTCCCGCTGAGACACCATAGGACTGACCAGAGCACAGTGAGCTCTGAGACCCCTGCCTACTTGTAAGCACAGACGGGACTTGAGGTCAGAGCTGGGCATTTCCAGTGACCCCATTGACGGTCCCTAAGTCTCCAGAGAGAACCAAAGTAGCACAAGCGTGGGGGCAGCCTGTCCACTGCCAGGAACGGGGAGTGCCGGGAGCAGGGGACCGCCTTCCACAGGCCTAAGGCTGGAACAGCCGTCTCAGAGCCTCCGAAGGGCTCCTTGGAGGTCAGTCATGTAGACATCGGGGCCAGCTGGGGCAAAACCTAGACTCCCTGTGCGCAGGGAGAATGGGGCAAAGGGCAGGAGGTCCTTTTGGGCGGGCGCCAGCCCTGCACAGGAGCTTCACCTCGGCGCCCCGAGGCCAAGCCCCACTCGCCACAGCCTCCTGACCATGGCTGCTTTAGGCTGTGGAGAACCAAGCAAACCTTCCTTGCATTAGGAAAAAGACCAAATAAAGTGTTTGGGTTTTATCTTTTTCCCCCTTCTTCTTTCAGAAAACAGCCCTTATGACGGTTGTGGTCCCCCAAAAAAACCCTCAAAAATATCTTTTTAAAGGCGTGCTCTAGCTGAGGTATGGAGCGATGGAACAGCACAGCAGGCAGGGTGTTGGCCTTGCACACACCTGCCCGGATGTGGTCCCTGAGCACAGGGCCAGGACTCAGCCCTGAGCACCACCACCAATAAATGAATAACTGATCAGAGTGCTGGAAGCAGCGGTACAACCGCAGAGCCAGTGGCGGTGTCCCCGCTCCCCTGTTCGACGACACTGGTGTCCGTGTCCTGTTGTGGACGGTTGTGAATGTAAGTTAAAAAAAAAAAGTCTTTTTTCTTTTTTTGGTCTTTGGGTCACACCTGGCGATGCTCAGGGCTGACTCGTGGCTCTGCACTCAGGAATCACTCCTGCGATGCTTGGGGGACCCTATGGGATACCGGGGAACCCAGGTTGGCCGTGTGCAAGGCAAACGCCCTCTCTGCTATACTACTGCTCCAGCCCCCGTAACAGTCTTTAAACCGTGTCTCCTCTAGCTCCAATTCTCTCCCCGTGTTACTCTTTGGCGATCACCAAACCCTGACCGTGACCCTCCAGGACCCTCCGAGAGCCACCCTGCGAACGCAGTCGGGTCCCCTCACTGCTCTCCTCTCCCGCCTCCACCAGCTCGGACAATGGCCTGGCTGTGGCCATGCCTGTGGTCCCCGGGAAGCCACTGGCTCCGGGCCAGCCCCGAGTCGGACTGGTCAGAGCCGCCCGCCGCAGACGTCCCCAAGGGGACTGTTCCCGGCCGCCTCCCATGGGTTCTGAAAGCGTTACTGAGTGCTTCTGCTGGGGGAGAACAGCTGTCTACAGCCAAGCGCCTCCGTTTGGGGACCTGTGCAGAGGAATGGGCTTGGGGCGAACTGAGGATGCCACGTGAAGGGACCTAGTTACTCCCACTAGAAACTCATCTCACGAGGGTCCTCCCTCGCCCCCAGCAAAGGCCTTCCAGGAGCTGCTCACAGGAACACAAGAGCAGGTGCTGAGTCTGAAGATCAAGCAACCAAGTCCACAAACCACACTCTTGAGAATGTTCTGGAGACGGTCCAGGGAAAATACTGGCCTACCCGTGGCCTACCCAGGGTCCATCCCCGACACCCCAGATGGTCCCGAGCCCTACCAGGAGTGATCCTTGAGTGCAGCACCAGGAGGAAGCCCTGAGCACGGCCAGGTGTGGCCCAAACACCAAACCACACACGTCTGGAGACATGGCGCACAGCCGGGCACAGAATGGCCCGGAGCGGCTCGGGGTGAGCCCTGTGACGCCCCAAACACAAACATCAAAAACCAGAGAAATGGAACCGATTTCCAACTTTGTTCGTTGGTTTGTTTTTTTGAGTCACAGTCAGAGTGCTCAGGGCTTACTCCTGGCTTGGTGCTCACGGATTACTACGGGATGTGCTTGGGGGACTGTACATGGGGCCAGGACTTAAAACCCAGGTCAGCGGCCTGGAAGGCACGTAGCCTGCCCATGGCAAGACCCCTCCATCCTGTTTTGGCTAAACTGGTAAAACTAGCATCATCCCGACACGCCTTCATCACGCTGGAAACTGCAGGACCAGGTGTCCCGGCTGCTCGTGCTTCCACCCAAACCGGGGGTCTGGAGAGGTTGATGGATCGTAAAAGTGAGTGGACACCCACCCGCGACCGCTGCCCTCGGCACTCACCAGCACCCGGTCCCCGAGCTTCAGCTCCCGCTCCCCTTTCTTGAGGGAGCCGGCCTCTGAGAGGTTGGAGATGGACTCGCTGGCCGTCCTGGTCAGGTTGCTGATGTGAGGGGTGGCCGGTGCCTCCTTCGTGGGGGGCTGGGGCGCCTTCGGGGCGCCGGCAGGGGCCGGGGAGGCCGACAGGGGCGGTGTGGCCCGGGCAGCAGGTGCTGGCTGCAGGCCGTTGGCCTCATCATCGGCCTGCAAGCTCCTGCTCAGCTTGGACGGCCGGGTGAAGATGCCCTTCAGCGGCTCGCACTGGAAGTAGCGCACACCCGCCACCGAGCCGTCGTTCTTGCCGATGGGCTCGTCCAAGACGATCCCGGCCCACTGACCAGGGGCAAACTGGGTCTCCCCGAGGAACTGGATGAATCCAGGCTTGTTCCCATTCACCCAGACTCGTTCCCCGACCCGGAAGTCGTCCACAAACTCCTCCTGCGTCTCCGAGGAGGGGGCGCTGGGGGTTTTCTCCCCAGGCACGGTCTTCTCAACGGGAGCAGCCGCTGGAACAGCAGAAAGGGTCAGAAGGGTCAGGAAGGGCCTGTCCAGGTCCAGTTAAAGTGTGGTTGGGGGGGGGGCCACACCCAGCAGTGCTCAGGGCTACTCCCAGCCAATGACGGGGGCTGCTTGTGGCAAAGCCTGGCCGGGCCCAACGTGAAAGGGTCGTGCTCACCTACCGCAGCATCCCAGGCCGCAGTCATACTTTGGGCAGTTGAGGGGAAATCTTTGGACACACCCCGTGATGCTAGGGACCAAGCCAGGCGAGAGCTCGAACCCAGTGTCTTATTTCTGCTGTGTCTGCCGCCCCATATTCTTCTTTGGGGGGAGAGTGGGGAGCAAACCCAGCCAGTGCTCAGGGCCTATTTCTGGTTCTGCACTCAGGGTCACTCGTGGTCAAGTTGAGGTTGGAGAGTCACATGGGGTGCCGGTTGCCCTCCCTGCTGTACTGTGGCTACGGCCGGCAATGAGGCCCTTTAGTCCAGGTGAGTCCACCTCTCTCAGCCTGTCCCCAAGCCCGGGCAAGGGGGCTAGCAGTTAGGAGGGAGCATGTTGGTCGCCTCAGCTGTCAGGTTGCTGTGACTCTAAAGTTACAGAACATGACACTCTGTGTGTGAGAGCTGTCCCCAGAGCAACTAACGTGCCTACAGCTCAGGGAGCCCTTCCCGGGCGAGGACTCGGGAGGTGTCCCCGGGTGGGAATGAGTCTGCCCTGGCCGGGCTGAGCGCACTTACCGGCCGATGGCGCCTTCAGGGCCGAGCTCCCATGCTTGAGGATCTTGGTGGGGGCCTTCAGCCCACTGGGCCTCAGCAAACTCATGGTCAGGCGGTCAGACGCTGCCACGGCCACTATCTGTCCCTGACCATCGAGCCCACTGTGGGGCCTTCTGAGGCGCACTCGTTCTCAGGGATAAATCTGTGAAGAGCAGAGGAGAGAGTCTGTCTCAGGGGAGCAACCACAGCAGATTCCGGAGCCCAGAGAGCTGCCAGTCTGGCACTCGCCACCCTGAGTGCGACGCCCAGCCTCCCGCACAGCCCCCTGAGCCCACCAAGTGTCATTCCTGTGCAAAAACTCAATCCAAAACAGACAAACAAACAACTGCAGATTCGGGGCCAGAGAGCAGAGGGGACAGGTACTTGCCCTGCGGGCAGCTGACCCTCACGCCCTCCCTGGCATCACACCCACCCCCAAACACATTCAGGAGCCAGAAATCGTCCCTGAGCACTGCGAGTGTCACTGACCACCTCTCCGTCCAGACACTGACTAGCCGGGAGGCGACTCAGCAGTGATGGCTGGTCTTGTGTGTGAGTGTGTGCCTATGTGTGTGTGTGAGAGGCCCGGGGTTACACACAGAAGCTAAGGCAAGCAACAGGCACACTTTTTTCTATGGGTTGAGAACTGCCAGGGAAAAGGGCCCAGCAAGACTGCGCCAAAGGGGGGCTGGAGAGCGATAGCACAGTGGGTAGGGTGTTTGCCTTGCAAGCAGCTGACCCAGGTTCAATTCCCAGCATCCCATATGGTCCTCTGAGCATTGCCAGGGGTGATTTCCGAGTGCAGAGCCAGGAGTAACTCCTGTGCATCACCAGGTGTGACCCAAAAAGAAAAAAAAAATTGCGCCAAAGGGGAGCGAAGGAGTTTGCGGCGTTTCCTTCGTTCCTTTTGACGCTGCCCAAGTTTGATAACCACAAGCCAGTATTAACTCCATTTCTTAACCCACAGAACTGAGGCAGACAGGTGGATGGGGAAGCTTCGCAAAGGCAATGGAACTCCGAGGAAGTCAACAAAAGCTTCACGGCCACCAAACGCCCACCTGAGGGAACGGGACCCAAGGTCTGGTCAAAATTAACCCACATCAAGAAGCCCAGAGTAGGCTGGACCCCCCTGAGGGAATAGGAAACAAAGGCCAGGAAAGGAATTTCTAAGAGGACCATGGACCACTGAACTCTACCCCCTTGGCAACCACCCTAGCAACGGACTCTAGGTAGCTAGAAACCCCACCGGGGGCAGCCTGGGGAAAACCCTAGATTAGCCACCTTGAACCAAGGGAGGGCGTTCATGTGTGCCCGAGCCCAGGTACTGCTCTTGCCTATGAGGTCGGTCATGTCACGGGCTTCTCCCCTCCTGAGGTGTGGGCTTTCCGACCTAATGCAACCTAGCAATCTAAGGTGTTCAGTGTGTTCAACCACAGGTTTTCAGTGGCTTTCTGCGCCTCTGGAGAAGCCGCACTCTCTCTCGAGCGCATTATTCCCTCCCTCCTTCCCCTTCCTAAAAGCCTCCAAATAAAATGTTTCTGCTTCATGCTCATCTCCTGAAATGCTTTCCTGCGAGAAGGACAAAGGCCCGGGGCCTGAGGAGGTCGAGGATTGACTCCCTTTCCCTGAAAAGGGCAACCCCTCACTCCGGCCTGAGACCCTGGGAAGGCCTAGTGGGCGTCGTGGGGCTGGTGGGGCTCATCGCGCTCATCAGTGCCAGCGCTCCAGCCAGTCCCAGGGGAGTGACATCTCTCTCCTCTGCTTCTCATCAGCCCCCCATGAGGGCCCACTGACTTCAGAGTCATTCTATATTTAATAGAAAAGTCCGCAGGGGACAGAGAGGCAGGACAGTGGGGAGGGCACTTGCCTTATATCCAGTTGTCCTGGGCTCGATCTCCGTCAGCACAGGGACATTACCCGGCCAGGGGTGACCCCTGGGCACAGTCAGTTATGGCCACCCCACCTCACCCCACCCCACCTCACCCCAACCCAGGTTAGTGACCTAACCTGGGGGCTGAGGATGGGACACCTGGAGGTGCTCAGGGCCAACTCGGGGCTCACCCTGACAGGACAGGTGGGGGGGGGTGGGGGAGGACACGGACAACACATACAGGGTGGGGTGGGGTCAGCAGCAGGCAAGGCAGGCTCCTTGGCCCTGGGCTACCCTTCCGGGCAAGGATACCTATTTTCTTTCTTTCCTTTTGTTTTTTTGGAACACCCAGCAGTGCTCAGGGTTACTCCTGGGTCTGCACTCAGGAATCACTCCTGGCGGTGCTCAGGGGACCTATGGGGTCAGCCATGTACCAGGCAAGTGCCAAGCCTTGATGTCAAGGTGTAAGGTCCCTAGGGACCCTGAGAAAAAATTCCAGAGATAAACTCTGCTCATTAGTAACTTTCCTTTTCCTGCCCCCTCCCTAGTAGAACTTTAGAGTGAAACCATTAGGCCCGTCCTTATTGGGATGTAAATTCTGAAACCATTTGTTGACTCTTCCTTGCTGGGATGTAAATTCTGAAACTATTTGTTGACTCTTCCCTGTTGGGATGTAAATTCGGAAACCATTTGTTGGCCCTTATCTGTTATCTCTGTTAGAAACTTTTCACTTATCCACCTCAGGAGCCAGAGTTGAGAATCAAAAGGAACAAAGAAGATAACCAAATGTTACCAGATGCCCACTAGCCACAATGCCTATGTACATATATGTTGATCTTTGAATCTATACGCTTAGGAGTGATGTACTTTTAAATGGATTGGTTAAGAAAGTATATGTTGTTACAAATCTATTGGCTATGAAATGTGCGGGCTTTGATGTAACAGCCAGTGAAGGCCTATATGAGATCCCCTTTGAAGAAGTTCGGGGTCTTGCCTCACCTATCTGACCTGTGTAGGCGGCTCGACCCTGGCTAGCCAGTCTTATAATAAACCTTGCTTGCTGTTTGCAATCTCTTTGTCGTTAAAGGGAGATCTTATAATAAACCTTGCTTGCTGTTTGCAATCTCTTTGTCGTTAAAGGGAGATCGAGATCCGCGTCCTAACATTTGGAGGCTCCACCCAGTTCTTCTGATGGTAAAAGGGCCCAGAGAGCGGGTTTTAAAAAGGCCTTAAATTCTGGGGAATATTCCATCTGCCCCTTCTGGACCGCGGCAGGGAAGTGGCCAACCCTGACTGGGAGAACATTTCTGGGTCCTCATTTGTTTGTTTGGAGGCCTCATTTGTTCGGGAAGACTTGAGGGACATAGGGTTTCCTTGGGTCCTCTCTTGTTATCCTAGGATTTGGAGGAAATTTCTGAGTCCTCATTTGTTTGTTTAGAGGTCTCATCTGTTTGGGAGGACTTGAAGGACATACCTATTTTCTTTCTTTCCTTTTGTTTTTTGGGACACCCGGCAGTGCTCAGGGTTACTCCTGGGTCTGCACTGAGGAATCACTCCTGGCGGTGCTCAGGGGACCTATGGGATCAGCCATGTACCAGGCAAGCGCCAAGTCTTGATGTCAAGGTGCCCACGAAACACAGGGTCCAATAAGGGACTCTACAGAGAACATCAGGGCCAGCGAACGCTACATGGAAATCAACCAATTCTGAAAACACACAAAAAGATGAAAAAGGAGGGACTGGAGTGAGAGCACAGTGGGGAGGGGTTTGCCTTGCTCACGGCTGACCAACGTTCGATCACCGTTATCCCATACAGTCCCAAGCACTGCCAGGAGTAATTCCTGAGCATCACTGAGTGTGACCCAAAGAGCCAAAAAAAAGAAAAAAACAGCGCGAAAGAAAATGTGTTTGAGCCTCACTGTCTCCCTGAAACTTAAGAACTCAGTGCCATGTGCGAGCCCATTTGAGTCTCGGGCCTGAACAAGCCCCCTCCCCCACCCCCACGCTCCTGTGTTTGGACCCTGACCCTGAATCCTGTGATAGGACCATGTGTGTGCATGATACAGACGCTAGCAGGCTCACGCCCTTAGACCATCCCTGCTTCACACAGGCGTGACACATGGGTCCTGGCCTGCTAGCGGCCGACAGTGATTCGGCAGGAAGCAGAGGTGTGAGCCTGAATGTGGGTCAAGTCCGTTCCTTCAGCTTGGAGGGGAGGAACGGCCAGGAGAGGGCTCTGAGTACTGCCTCGCAAGCATGAGGTCCTGAGTCCAAGCCCACAGGGTCACACGTGCACTTGGCACAAACCCGGCACAAATCCGGCAGCTCTGCCGTCCCAGCACCAGGCAGGAAGGGGGTGACCCCAGGGGGAGGGCCACCGAGAGAGGAGGGGGACACCACAGAAAGGAGGAGCAAGCACAGGGCAGGAGGTGAGGGTTGCAGGGCCGGGAGCACCCGGGCAGAGAGCAGCCCTGAGGAGCAGGAGGCCAGGCGGGCGCCCCTTGTCACTGGCCACTCGAGGCAGTCGCACAAGCCGTGTGCAGACCTACGAGGCTGACAGGGCGCCAGGGACGGGGCAACCCCAGCAAGAATTTTTCTTTAAGTTTTTTTTTCTTTTTCCATTTTTTATAATTTTATTTATTGAATCACCATGAGAGCAGTTACAAAGCTTTTGGGTCTAAGTCTCGGTCATACAATGAAACACCCGTACCTTCACCAGTGCCCATTCTCCACCACCAAAAATCCCAGTATACCCCCATCCCACACCCTCCCCCTGCCTGTGGGGCAGATGATTTCTACATTACTCTCTCTCTACTTTGATCACATTCACTATTTCGACACCAGACCCACCATTATTTAAGATTTTACCCTAACACTCAGATCTGCTGAAAAGGCAACAATAGACAATTTGTGTTCTATTGCTGGTTATGAATAACATATGATGTCGTGTGGCTGCAGTAGGGCCATGTGGTTTTGAAGTTCTGAAATTTTAACACTTAAATCTGGAGGGATTTCTGCCAAAAGCCACTGGGTTTAGAGATCTGCTCCTGAGTCTCTGGGATCATGGCCGTTGAGCAGCTTGATGAGGAGCCAAAGAGGCCATTCGTGAGCGATGACTTGGGGTCTCATTGGGGTGGGGAAGACAGGCCCGGCTCCACCTCCCCCACCATCCCGTGAGACACAACAAGTTTCGTCACTGCGGGCCCAAGCCTGACTGTCCAATGGCCTCTGCAGGATGACAGCCACCAAGTCGCCAAGAGGGAGCAGGCAGAGGGACAGCACCCATTCCCCCCT